CAAAGCTAAATTTTACTGCTGCGTAAAACAACTACAAGAAGACGGTTCATATATTAAAGACTAACTGCCGCGCACGGCTTACGTAGTTAAGCAGTTAAACAACAGACGCCTCGGCGTCAAGTGTCGTCCCGCGCAAGGCGAGGACGGCGGCTAAGCCGCAGAGCGCGGGCTGTCGCGCACGACAGAAGTAACGCGGCGAACCGCGAGAGAGAACTGCTGGGCGTCTCGGGCCCGTTCAAACTCGTCGGTTTTCCGTCCGATCGGTGGTTACGACGTGCGCCGAAATCTCTCCCGTGCAATCAGGGTTCAGTTAGAATTACGTTGGGTACAGGCCCCGACGCATACCTGTTGGACGGACAAAACCACCCTCGTCAGAAGGCCAAAAGGCCAGTTCCCAGGGATAGGTCTCACGGCTAGAGCCTAAACATTGAGACACGAGCCCGTTTATCGCCGGAGAAAATAAACTGACTCCGATGATTCCAGCGAGAATCGCCAGGACCTGCCTCACGGGAAAAACCGACCCTCGGAGTGTGAGAATTAGGTGCGTTAAAACCAATAGATAAACAGAAAGCTTGCCAGACACAACACGCACGGGTCCCGGGAACACAAGCGCAGCGAAAGATCACACCAGATTCAAAGATTACGAGGACCACCAGAGGGGGGTTCACCCGAATCTGCGTCTACGTCTGTGCGTAAACTTCCGGCGCGTTCGCGACCCCCACAGCCAACCCCCCACAACCATTGGAACATGATACGCGGTCTCCGCACTCGTGGCCTGAGCCCGAGAACCGCGTCCACGGCACTTCGTCTAGTTTACGAAATGGCCTGCCCGTTGACAAGTGCACTTGGGAGTTTTGCTGGATGTGTAGGTTTGGGTGTCTGCATGCAACGGCCCCATGGTTTAGAAGAAAGACTTGCCGGCAATACCCCGCCGTGGGGAAGACGCAACCCCGCTCGTGGTGAAAAAGTGTTAAGTTCAGTATGCATAGGGACGCTAAACAAATTCTTTAAGGAAAACGCCGTCTCGGCGGCGCGCAAAAATGCGACGACATCTGCAGTATCTCAATGAAGAAGAAAGCACTCAAGCACGCGAAGTTTTTACTAAAACATCATTAATAGTCAGCTGTCTGCCCTCTCCTGTCCTTTCTTTCTTCGTGTACAAGTTTAGTTGTATAGTTCAAGCTGATTTGTTTACAAGTATGTACCTACAAGCTACTCCTAAGCGTTTCCAATTTCCTTCCCATTTCTCTCAAAGTTCGTTTGTATTAGAGTTCCTAAATGGGAAACATCGCTGTCAAAACTACTGGCGGTAGCACGTGGCTTAATCTCGAGTCTTATCTGCACGCGCTCTCATAGCTACGCGCATGCGCGGTAGCTTGATCAGCACTTTTTTGCTACGTCTTAGCGAAGAATAGGTATAACTCAGAATTACACGATAAATTATAATATTAAAATCTTTAGTTTTGCTTAAATGCAGCTCGCCAATTTGAAATCTCGTTCTTGCTGCCAGGCTAAATATTTTCTGATAATATTAATCACGTTAGAAAAGCTTACGTACAAGTCACCGTGACAGATGTGCTTTATATTAAGCTTGGCTTCCAGTTCAAGGAGATTGCCTGGCATGCGACATTCGAGACGCGAATGTTTTAGTAATTTATAGATAACGTAAAAAAAACACAATAAAATGGTGTTATGCGAACCAGCCTTTGAACAATAGACGCCCGCGGGTCGCATGTGGCCCGCTACTCTCTGGAACGTGGCCCGCAAGCATCCTGCTACTGCGACCTTCAGTTCCCATGTTTCCAGCGCTACATGCGCAATAAATAATGGCCTCATGCCGTCCAATCAAGACCACTGCAAGTAGTCAAACACTATAGTTACATTTTCAAATATTTAATGCTCCTTTGGTTTTATTTTAATTGAGGATTCTTTCGTCTTAACTAACACTAGAGTACAAATATTTGGTTATAATTATGCTACAAAGATTGCCAGAAAAACAAAAATTGTCGTACGAAGACTTTTTCTTTTTTCGAGATATGTTAAGCTTTATTGATTCCCGAGTGGACTGAGCGATATGGAAATGACAATGTGCCATGCTCTCTTGTTCTATTAAAAAAAGTCTACACGTCGGTCGCAAGGCGGCATTTTAAAGCTTATCACATCAGGTATGGGGGTCAACTTACTGTGGCAATGGAACCAAAGGTACAAAGCCCAAGCTCGCCGTTTTGCAGCACAGCTGAATATAATTCAACCAAAATACTTTTCTGTGTGTAACCTAACGATCGAAAAATCATAACTATTGGCTTTGATTCTACAATGATACTATAATATTGGTCAAGATATGCGAAACGGGACATTTGTTTTTTAGCTCATTGAAGTTGCCTTGGTCTAAGCTTGGCGCAGCTTTTCTAGTTCCCTACGAAAGGAACACGACTTCTTTCTCGTGTGCATCCTTGGTTATCATCGGCATGGTGGTACACGCAATACCCTCCGTGAGCTCATACTTTTGTTCGCCCGTAGGACTTTTGCGAAGTTTGGGAGCCAAAAGTTGTCAAAACAAACCGAGCACGTGGTGTGGAACGTGCGCGCACAAGTGAGGCAGAAGGAACCTGGACTCTCCATTGTTTTCGTATATCGGTTGGTGAGGAGCTCACTGGCGTAAGCAAGCAGGGCTCGGGATTTAATCTTGGATTCTGTAACGCGAGCTATCTTTGTAAGTGTTCCGAACTGTGGTGCAACCCCCCCCCCCCCCCCCCCCCTCTCTCTAATGCCGGCGGCAATTTAACATGATCCAAATGGAACTTGACTTCGTGCCGCAGCGTGTGCCTGCTCCTATATCGGACCTCGGTATATCGCGCCTTTGCTGTGATCCTTCAGCATCAGAGGGGTTTATATATCGGTGACCTTAAAACTGAAGTGCTGATGAAATTCACGAAAATAATTAATCGATCCCGAATATCTGCGTCAGTCGCAAGTCAAATAGGATTTGACGAAATCGGCCATGGTGTTACTGCACCACAGAAGCTTTTGTGTTGACCGTCGACCAGTTTAAATAAGGCTCTTTCAACACGTTCCAATGCATGTCACTATGACCACAATGTAATTTACGTTGTAAGTTGGTCGGCGGGCTTCAGTCGAGGCGTTGGCTTCTGTTTGGAAGCGGGTGAAACACAGGGAAAGAAACGCAGATATGTCTGCAAGCTCAGCGATTGCGTTTCAGCACCCCCGGCTAACCGGGTTTCTAGTGCGAAAAAAATAAACTGTAGGAAATGCGTGCCTGTCACGCAAAAACGCAAACGGAGACCGAAACCAAATAACCCAAGCATCACGAATTTTGGCCAAGCATTAATTAGCCAATGGCTGGCGATTGTATTTTGGCCAATGGCCAAAGGGTGGCAATTCATCGGCCAATGTTTGGCGGATGGAAGATGGCCAGTGGCCAATGGCCAGAGAAAGGCCAGTCACCGGTCAATGGCTGGCCACTGTCTGGCCACTGTCTGGCCACTGGCCAAATGACCATTGCAAGCCCTTGGCCAATGATTGGCCAAATCTGTGCTGCTTAGGAAAGTCCGGAACTACTTGGCGCAATAGCACAAAACTTTTATCTCTCGCGCCCCCCCCCCCCCTTTCTAGCTTTCTCTTCATTGCCACAGAAGGTTGTCCCCGAGTATAGCAAAGAGCACGAGTTCCCTCGTTTATGGAAACGTTGGTGTATTGCTGAGCGACTCGGCTGCTTTCATCGTGAAACATCAACAATCTTCTTTTCTTTCTTAAGCTCTGTGTACCTTTTACAACCGCCGTATACGTTGGCCCTTGACCTTTCGGGGATCGGCTATCTAGCCGCCACACTCACATAAGATCATTTCAGAAACAGGCTTCTGGTCGGTGCCATTTTCAAAGCCTCGTGCGTACGGCGCCTGTTTCGCTCGCTTTCCGAAGCGAAGACCATGCGCGCGCTGGGCTGTGATGGCCCCACGCTGGGCTGCGATTTTGTAAACATTGTAACAGCGTATTCGCAACTTTCACGGCCTATAGAGGGCGCGCTAGTTCCTGTCAAAATGGCTGTCATCTGGATGATCTTCGTAGAACAGCAGTACAAGGCCTGGTCTGTGACGCGTAAGGAATTCTAATTTTGTAAAATAAAATCTTATATTTGTAAAATATAAGAGGCGAGCCCGATTCTTCTACGTCAGGAAGGGGAAAGCAAGCACCTTCACCCGGATGGCAATCATCCAGGAGCTAGGGAGCGCGATTTTCACAACGCGGCGCCACCATCGCTGAAAGTTGCAAATAAGAGCCCCTCGCCGATCAAAGCCGTGCACACGCACTTTTGTTTGACTTATTTTTGAGTAATCCAGTGGCACAGGCAGGTCAACAAAAAGTTATCATCTAAATTTAAATAAGAGTACCGAGTATTCGTGAGTAAATAGAACAGTGCTTTCCGGCCCGCGTGAATATACCACGCCTCACAAAAAGCTCAAACTCTAATAGATTATGACGCCAGTGGTTGGGATAAAACGCGCACGTTTGAGAACAACTAGGTCGTTGCCTGGATCAAAAACATAAGAGAAATGCGAAATTTCTCTGAGATGACGTCCACCGAGCCTAATATTGCAATAAGAAGCACGACATACTTGTGCATGTGGTATTTATATAAGGTGAAAATGACGAGGCAGCGATAGGGATAGTATTGTCTTATTTCTTGTTCACCCATACAATGGTTTTTGTTTGTTTTTTCTCGTTGAAATGAAAGTTACTGGTACCCACAACGGCATTTTCTGTTTTGTCAATATTATGCAAGGTGGGCGTTGGCCTAAAGAAAAAACTTTCTTTTTCATTTCACTCAAACGACTTTACGTTCTCAAATTTTCGCAGTCTGCCCCCCGGGCTCGCGTCACGCTCCGAATTTCAGCGTTTTGCGACGCGTAGTTCATTTACTCGGGTCAAAGTACACTGGTCTTTTTCCTGACAAACACCCGGTACTTTTCATCTCCTTACAGCGCCTGACGTCACGGGCCTCAAACTGGAAGTCCTGGGAAATTCATCGATAGAGGTCCGTTGGAATACGCCAGAGGTACCCGTGTCGAGGTTCGAAATCGTCGCATGCCCGGTCGTGGCTGGTCATCCATGCGTCGATGCTACCGCAAAAGATAAATCCAGCTACACAATCGAAAACCTCAAGCCTGGCACAGAGTACGAAGTAACAGTCCAGTCTGTAATCCAGAAGCGACGCTTCACCTCCTACGGTGTCCCAGCGAAGTCACGCGCCACAACTGATATATGGGGTAAGTTAATATTTTGAAATGTCTACATCATTTAATGTTCTCTCTTAAGTTACACCTGTACTTTTCTCTGTGTTTACCCTACACCACCTAACTCGGCCGTAATAATGTGTTCTTAATTTTCTGTGTTCTAATGGGCCCTTTTGAAAAGTGCGAGCCTTTTACTCCGCTCACCCCTTAGCTAAAACTGTGGTGGAAGCTACGTCCCCGTTGAACCAGTCCTCGTCTCTCTTTTGCCACGTGACCACGCTCCCCCCCACAGCCACGCGCAGACAGCCGGGTCAGATGATGAAAGGGACGCGGCTGATTCGTCCGGCGGGCGCGTAGCGTCCACCGCAATATCGGCCTAGAGGTGAACGGAGTAAAGTAGTTGCTCTGTCACTTACTTGAATACAAAATTCAAATTTGTGGGGCTTTACGTGTCAAGCCATCGAAATACACCTGGCGTGCCTAGACGCTGGACTGGAGATTAGTTTCGAACCCCTGAGAATCTTGTGACGTGCAACCGAAATTTCGGCTATAAAGCGTCTTCTCTGCGATAAGTTCTCCGTCGGATAGTGGGAACCTCGGCCGCAATTCGAACCCACCACCACCTGGATGGTTAGGTTGATCATTTACACGTGCGTCTTAAAAGGTCACGGATCTGACGCGTTCGCGTGTGATTGGTGGAGCCCATTGACTCCACCAATCAGATGCCTTCTTAAAACGTACTACATGTAAATGCCCAACCTATAACCGACCTGGGGACCATAGGCCGGCGCTTTGCCTGGGATCCACCGGGGCGGCTTTAATACTTCGAGTCCACTATTGTCTGTGCACGTACACTGAGCATGCACTGGACGCGTACAAAGGCCAGCACTCAGCACGAACTCGTTTGAGCTAGCATTGAGAACGAGCGCTGCGTCAGCGCTCGGCGACGACTCGGAGCCAATCACAGGCGTCGTGTCCAAGAAATGTCGACCCCCAATGTTGCTTGATTGGGTTTTGGGAAGGGTTCACTAAGCTTGTGCTAAACAAAAAAAGTGAGACTGTGAAGACCAAAAATGTTCAAAACTACGAGAGCTCTTTCTCAAGCAAAAACAGTCGTGTGAAGTCGCGCGTGCTGGTCTACGCATTAAATGCTCTACAAATTTTACTTTTTAAAGATGCTCCGGTGGCGCTTTTTTGTGGCTTCTTAGTTCTACCCCAGACGTCGGAACCAAGACTTTTTGTTTCGAACGGCAAATATTGATGGTGCGTTCATAGGCGTAAACTACGGGGGGGGGGCCATGATCCTTACCGATCCCCCCCCCCCCTCTGGTGAGATCCGGAGGAGGGGCAGCGCCCCCCCCCCCCCCCCCCCCCCGGATCTCCGGGCTCTGCCCCCCTTCGGATCACTGGAGGGGCCATGATCCTTACCGAGGTGCTGTTTACGTGCCATGTAACGAGCTTCTAGTAGAGGCATGTGAACAAAATAACACCCACGTTGCCTTTATTAACAAAATACATAGGAAATGGAATCCCAGCGTTCTTTCGTTAGCTTCAATCTCCAGTTCTGGCGAGAAGGTAACGCCCCCCCCCCCCCCCCCCCCCCTAGGAACTTCTCAGCCTTCTACCCCCCCCCCCCCCCCCCCCTTCCCGGGAAAATGGAAACTCTACGCCGCTGGGTGCATTTCTATAAAGAAATGCACACAGTTATAGCATTCCTAAACTAGCGCATCCAACGTTGATTCATCTCGCACTTTTAAACACAAGTTGTACAGCAACCTAGAGGAATCTGTGCAAAACACCGTAAACTCTTTTTAAAGCATCACCTGCTACAAGAAAGTTCTCTAACATGTTAGAGAACTTCCTCGTCACGTGACACGTGCCCGCTTAGCAAGTACAGGCAGATCATAAAGAGCGGTGAGAGATGCAGTCAAAGTCAAAAGTCAAATTGGACGTTTTAGTGATTTATACAGCGTAAGGTCGGTCTGCCAGTAGGGGCGACACTGGTTTACACTGTAGATGAGCAATTTCGCCAGTGCAGTAGGACTGCTAACCTGGGGTCCTTAACGTGTTCACGCATTGATCGCGGTAGTGATACACGGCCGCACGCTGGTACGATGCTCATACAGATCGAAACGGGCAGGGGTGGGGCTCGAACCCAGGATCCCTGGGTTGTGCAGCGCGAGCTTTCGCTCCACGCGCGTCGAGCTGGGTTTGTGCTTTAGCCCACTCGGCCACCGATCCCCCGAGAGGTGTATATGTTCCTGCCCATGAAAAATGGCGTTAAGGTCCACCTTCAGATTCCACCGTTGAAATCCAGCATTACGTTATACGCAGTCATATAAAATGTATAGAAGCCCATAGGGCCATAGGAGCGGATGTTACGTGACATCATGTTACGCTATACCCTGGCGTCACGGTTTCCCTGATTCTATGACCTTAACAGTATCTCGTCACGTCCCGACCTCACGTGCGACTCCCTTTCAGGGCCAGCCTTAGGGGTAAGGTACCTGGGTGGGCGCCACGGCCATCATCGAGAGGGGCGACGTCGCACTCACCTTTAAATTTTTGCTTTCGTTTTTTGATTTATTTAAGCACTACGCCCGACCGTTATAACCGACCTTCAGTATTTGTTCCTCTTATTTCGTTTATTTCACTTCATCATTACCATAGCAGACCAGGTCAGTGCTATTTTAGATTTTACTGCATCCACCCTCCTCAGCATTATTTTTTGTGCAGGCTTGTCAACGCCCGTTTCAGTAGCTCGGCATCTTCGTAAGACAAGAGAATGTCGGCAATGGTGGCTGTAATCTGGCGTGTATAAAGCGGCTATATAACTGATCGTCGTTTGTTTTGGGAATGCGGTTCTCGTCTGACGAAACGCTAATGTTGGGTGACTACTCACATGTCTACTAACAACGCGATAGCGTACCTACCGGATAGGGACCTATAAAAAGGGGAGGGGGTGGGGGGCACGCCACGGCCGGATTTCGCCCAGAGTGCTTGATGCTATAGGGCCGGCCCTGCTCTCCGGCGTCACATGCGACTCTGTGACATCACGTGGAATGTGACGTCACCTGATACTAGGACGCAACGTTACGTCACACAGTCCTCAAGTTCCGAGCACTTTTGCGACATATTCTGCGCGACCCAGAGTTTTTCGCATATCATTGAGGCATGCGGGCACTTTTCTTCTTTTTTATTTTAATTACACACATATTTTCAGTTCCACCCGTCACCGAGCTGGAATTATCCTGTCCGGCCGATGGAGTAATCGTGGCAGAGTGGACGTTGAAAGAGTCATTGCTCGTGGACGCCATCGTGATCATCGCCTGCCCACCGGCCGAGTACGACTGCCGCAAGGCCACAGTTGGATCTCGTGACCCGTCCGTCGAGATTAAGGGTTTGCTGGCGGATAAGGAATACACGGTTAACGTCACAACGTTCATCACCGTGGAAGATACGACGTACCACGGGGAGTCGGTGTTCGCCAGTATCACGACCCGACCTAAGCGTAAGTTGATGCAGCAGTCATGAGGAAAGAATTTCTTGCGGACACCCCGCAACCATGTTGAAATCTTTTCTACTTCGTACAAATATATGCTCGAAACATGACTAGAGGCCGTGTTTTTAAGCGACCGCCGTACCAGGACCGTCGTAAAAGGAAGAAACACGTCTCAGGCAGTGTCCGCCGGATGTCTTTTTTTATGATCCACTAACATTGTGACCGCGGGTTAAGGGCAGCTTAAGGTTCCGGTTCCACGGCGACGACTCCAAATACGCGGGAGTGGAGTTTACATCGTTTTGAACGTATAGAGTGGCCACGCGGAGGATCCTAGCGCTGTAAAGCAAGCCGGAAAAATCGGCGGCTGCGTATAGAAAGCTCGAACGTTCACTGAACGTGCACTTACGCAGTGGATTTAACCATGTGAAGCTTCAAGGCGTAGCTCCTTTCCTGTAAAAGACAAGACCAACAAACTTGCCAGGGTCAACGGCGGAGGCCGTTGACCCTGGTGACGGTTGTAACGCGTGTCGCCATCTTCCGATAACCAAAGCGAGCAAACGACGCTAATGCCGCTGTCGCATTGGCCGCGGAACAAAAATAAGATTTTCGGGACTCCTCACACCCTGCGTTTTCTTAAACTATCAATGAATACATCAAGCTATAGGAGAATACATGAAACTATCGGAGAGTACATGAAACTATCAGAGAATACATCAAACTATCGGAGACTATAGTCCGTTGCAACCTAAGAACGAAGGGCGAGGGTAAGACGGGCCGGGGAGGAGGAAGCAGACGGAACGCTGAAGAGAGAAGGAGGTTTCCCCCTCTCTTCTCCAGCGTTCCGTCTGCTTCCTCCTCTCTGGCCCGTCTTACCCTCGCCCTTCGTTCTTAGGTTGCAACGGACTATACATTCTACGGCGCTCATTTGCATTACACGGCACGCCTACAGCTCTACAATGTTTCCTAGCTGTGCGGACAGCCCACGTACGAGAGACAGCATGTGCACCGCGTTGCCTACCCTGTTTATCTTCTGTGCTGCGTAAAACGGGGAAACAGCTATTTCTGCTGGATCGGAGGCTGTTCATAACGATAGGTGCAGCACCCACACCCCAACTGAAAGGGCAAAACCCCCATGAGGCAGACGCGTCTTGCTGTTCTAACTACCCGAATGCTTTCGGCACAGAATGCCATTGGAGTATCGCGGAGTAAAGGCAGGTTCACACGCTTGCGTTTGACTATGTAACTGACTGGACCACACCGGTATTTATTAAACCCCTCCGTTCGTTAACTATCGCAAATGTGTTGACCAGCCTTTAGGGGCTGGTTTACACGCTTGCGATTGCTTACGACAAGAAATGGTAAAAAAACGGTTTTTAAGCCTCATGTGACGGCGGAGGACCGGCCTCTGATGCATCGCAACCGGACGTAAGCAGTCACAACGGCTTAAAGGCTGACGATTTCAAATATTGCACCCAGTGATACCTTGTATACACAGCTCGCAGGTCTTGCCATTGCTGGCGGCTATTTCTACCGATTGGTGGTCTCGATCTCCTACTTCTGCGGTGTGAAACTGCCCTTACAAAAATGTGCTTACACCATAGAGACGTTCTATAGAAAGGAATTCCTAGAAGGAGCATAAGATTTCTCTAAGAATGCCATGAGCTATTATACCTTTCTATCATTCTCGAGAGGTCTCCTAAAGAATAGTGGCCAACGGACATGCTACAGACATTCTAGGTCAACTGACCTGCTGAGGACGTCCTATGGGAAGGCTAGGCCTGACGCATTTCTAATACCAGAGGAAGTTGCTATATGAGTTGCATAGTTGCTATTTGAGGCCCTTAGGAAGGGTTTAGGACGTCCACACCCATAGGATACCATTAAGAAGGTAATAGAATGGTCGCCTAGGCTCGTAGAGGAGCCTGTGATGCTGCTAAAAAGGCAATAAAATAGTCGTCCTTGTCTCCTAGCACGACCGCGACCATGGCTGAATTCTAAACAAGCAAGCTGCTGCTAAAACAAAAACAAGGGATTGATTTAAAATCTCCTAGAACTTTATTTCACACAGCCTATTTGTAGACAAGTACAGAAGTGCAAGCGATCTTTGAAATGAGAAGAGATACTCTGGGGGTCATAAAACTGAGAACATGGCAAAGGAAACAAGAACGGGGTAATTCTACAGGTAATCCGGATGAGCACCCGTGGGAGAAAAAATCGTCTTAGGCAACATCAATTGAGCGTTTTGGTTAAACATATTAACGAGTTTTAGTTGACCGTGTTTCCCCCTCCGCTCAGCCCCTCAGCTGCACGGAAGTCTACAGCCAAGGACGTCGGCGCGCAGGCGCAGTGGCGGTTTCTTCGTAACGGAGAGTGAGCGGAGGGAGAAGCACGGTCTAGTAAAACCAGTGTTGGACAAAATACTCGATAAAAGTATTTAAGTTAAGTAACTAAATACCTGCTTCATAAAACATTTAAAATACTACTCAAGTCACTTTCAGTGTAAAGTATCTTGAGAAGAGTACAAATACTTAGAAATGTAATTCAGTTACTTTTGAAGATACTTCCTCATCGCGTAATTTGTATCGACGTCAGTGACAAACACAATTATATGGCTGCACAAATCTGGTTAATCAAAATGTTTTATTAGCACGCAACACAAAACGAAAAAAAAAAAGCATTCTAGGGCTATTTTATGCAGTCCAACTATACACGTTTGCAAGTCCGGTCTCAGGGCGCCGCCATCTTTCTCAATGGGGTGCGCTCTTGGGCGCGGTCATATCCGACTACGACGCCTTAGCAAGGCTTCGTAATCGGGTTATGGCTCGTCCAAGCGCACCCAGCCAAGCAAGATGGCAGCGCCCTGAAGCTGTACTTGCAAACGTGTATAAGGAGCAGAATACTGTCTCGAATGACAAATGGTAAGGCGGCGAATAACTGAAAAAACTAAACGTTTAATGGGGCGAACTCGTGCCCAAAACAACAGAGAAAAGCTAGCGTCGCAGGCGTCGATGTCAGGTGCAGGCACGTTCGTCACATGCCCATTCGTCATAGGGCGACTGGTAACAGGCCCGTTCGTCACAGCGGAACATTCGTTATAGGGCGACTGGTAACAGGCCCGTTCGTCACAGCGGAACATTCGTCGTAGGGCAACTGGTAACAGGCCCGTTCGTCACAGCGGAACATTCATCATAGGGCGACTGGTAACAGACCCGTTCGTCACAGCGGAACATTCGTCATAGGGCGACTGGCTAACCGGACGGATGAAACATGAAGGGGCTTTATGAATATCACGCCCTACGGCGCACCTTAGACGCATCGTCTAACTACAATGCATATTCCCTATATGGGGAGTTCACTATAAACGAACTTTGGATACAGATATGAGGGGATAGATAACAAAGAGAGCACACATAATAGCCACGGCAGGGGTCGTACCTTCTTCAAGTAGGTTGCGTTTAGAAAGGCACTCAGCGTTGGGGGACGCTTTGTTAGGATTTTCAGAGGTCATCCAGCTTTTAGTTCGTTTCCTGTCCTGCTCTCTGCTTATCAATGTTCGCTTACATACACTGGTCGCGAGAGCAATGAGTGATGGACTGACGACAAAAAGAAAATAAACAAAAGAAAGCCTAGACGTTTCGCCATGGAAGGGTCAAATCTACAGCAAGCAAAATTTTTTTCTGTCCACTTCTTTTTTATTTTCTTGACACACAAGCGTGCACTGTTTTGGAAGGTTGATTTCTGGTCTGCGTTGCGCCTCAGTGTGGCAATCCTAACTCCCGTAAAACCACCCCTTTTGTTTGAGGATTTTTAGGCGGAAATTCTAGGAAACAGAAGGCGCATTTGGGAACGCGAGGGAAAAACCTTCATTGTACGAACGTTGGGCTGAAATATGAGTCACTGTCGGCAAATAAGCGATGTTTTTTTTAACGAGCTCAACCAAAGTCACCGTAGCTAATCGGAGCTAGCAACAAGATTTGGTTGCTCGAAAGAATGTTCACGTTTGCTCGTGCCACGCCCGCGCCACTTCACACCGAAAAACTCAGAAAATGGCGGAATGTCGAAAATGTATTTGATATAATGAGTTCGAGATACTCAGAAATAAAATTAAGATAGAGTATCAAATACTCTCGATCAAAAGTATTCGCAAGATAGCAAGATACTGCAAGAAGTATTTAAAATACAGTATCTTGAGTAGAGTATTTGAGATAGGCACAAGTCTGACTAAAACTCCCTATTTTCTTGATATTTAGAACGCCAACTGATGGAACGTGTTTGTGGTTGTCCGTTGTCCACCCGTTAGCGTTCTGAAAACATAGGTCAATCGCCGCTAAAAAAGAGGTTGCTCTGTACTTACGATGAATCTTTGGACTCCACAAAGATAATCCAAGATCCATGTCGAAGCGGGCACTTCACAACACGTATACAAAAACGAGAAAAAATGGCTCCGTGAAGATTCAACACAATGTAGCGCAAACTGTCCTTTGCCGAACCGAACACTAAAGGCATCACAAAAAGTTATTTGGCTTTTTTGAAGAAATTGCTTGTTGTTGATATACGGGTAGGACTTTTCAGACACTCATAGCTTTGATATGCTTCAAATACGTTGTCGCAGACAATGAAGTAGTTAACACCGAAATCCACGGCAGTTCCGCGGGCCGGACAACACGGTCGGCGGAGAAAAGCTCACTAGAGAAAAGCTTACAAGAGAGAAGCTCACCAGAGAAAAGCTCACCAGAGAAAAGCTCACCGCAGATAAGCTCACCGCAGATAAGCTCACCGCAGATAAGCTCAACGGGGGTAAGCTCACCAGAGAAAGGCTCAAGGGAGAAAAGCTCACCATATAAAAGCTCATCGTAAAACCGTCCGATGCGGAGAAAAGCTCACCGGTTTTTTTACAGATGCGGAGAAAAGCTCACCTGCTAATCTTTGAACCGAGCATTAACTCAACTGAACTATGTTGGGATGCCATACGTACGTGCTGTCATTCTGCAGTACAGTAACAAATAATATACCTTTAAGTATATTTTAATTATACAAAATCAGTTTCATGTTAAAATTAAAATTGAAGAAAAAACTATTAACTGGTAGTTGAAGGATAGCCGGGGGAAGATATAACCATGCAGTGTAGGAAGCTGGAGCCTGAGCAGTTCCTTCCTGAATGTTATATATTCAATTAACTTTCATATACTAGTAGCGGATTCTAAATTTCCAAAACTTCTCATTTCAACATTGAAGAAGGCACGCTTTCAATATTCTAAGTTCTTCCAATGAGCATCTAAATAAGATTGATATTTCCGCTATCCCGGTATATGTAACAATTAACTATGGCAATGCAAGAAAACGGCTGACGTAAAAGCGGAATGAGGGCTGCAGCAAACCGCCTTGCTTTAAAATTTATACTACCATGCATTGGACTGCAGATATCGTTCCACTTCTGCTCCTAAAATGTTCAAACCCGGTCCAAGAATACAGGAACAAATTGTTCAAATGATGAAATAAACATTGAATGGATATAGACCACCTTGCATATTTACCGAACTCTAGGTGAACGTTCCGCGGGGTTTGCGTAAGGACTGGTGAGCTTTGCTTCGGGACCGTACAAAAGTAGGTGAGCTGATCTCCGCTGAACTTATCTCCGGTGAGCAATTTCTCCGGTGAGCAATTCCTCCGGGGGGCATTTTCTCCGGTGTGCATTTTTCTCCAGTGAGTTTTTCTTCGATGAGCCTTTCTCCAGCATTAGCAGAACACACACGAAACTAGGCCAGCAAGCAGGTATTCAGGGATTGGGAACCGCTTCTGAGCCATCTGCCAATATTTTAACGCATGATCATGCTCCTGCCGTTACCCGTACGCAGAGAGCGGAGTCAAGAGATAAAAAGGAGACGGTTGATTGATCCGGCGAGCGCACACCTCCTACCACGTTTTCAGCTTAGAGAAGGAGAGAGAGAGACGGAGAGGGAGTAAGGAAGCACTGACTGCTTGAGGTGAGAACGGAGGTGCGCTCGCAAGGCTAATCTTCAAATGGCATCCAACAATGAACAGAACTGGAGGATTTTTTCAATAAAAATCGCTGGAGAAGGGGAACAAGGGGGACAAAGGACAAACACAAATCTCTAAACATAAAAAAAATTGGGTTGTGTGTATGTTTATACAGCCTAGAACTTGGTCTGCCTCACAGGGGCTAACCAGGAGTCAGACGTCAGTAGAGCAAACGGGTTTTATCGGCTGCCACCATTCTAAAACCAACAAGGGTTAAACGCCCGCGTGCTAAGTTTCTGGTGATAATGCAATTAATGCAAAAATGCAATCGAGCTGGGCAAGAATGGCGATGATAATCCCGGAGAAGGGGAACAAGGGTGACAAAGGACAATCCCAAACCTCCAAACACGGCTAAGTGAGTGGTGCGCGATGGGAAAAATCCTCCTGGTCCTGGTATCGAACCAAAAACCTGCATTTTTTCGGTCGTGCACCACTCACCTAGGTGTGTTTGGAGATTTGTGTTTGTCCTTTGTCCCCCTCGTTCCCCTTCTCCAGGGATTATTGTCGTCATTCTTGTCCAGCTCACTTGCACTTCTTCATTAATTGCATTGTCATGACTTGTCACAGGTATACTCTTGTAAGTTCTTCCATAAGTTGATATGCAGTGAATGCGATGTGCGTTGACTCGGCCTTGAATCAAACACATGCCGTGCTGTGCCTTATCACCAGCTTGGAGACATAGGCTTAAAAAACGCATAGTGTCTAGTCTGCTGTCAATACCGAGTGAACAGGACTGCTGCATGACGTCTAGTTTTTGTAGTTCCAAAGAATCTGCCAGGCCCAAAAGTGATCCAAAAAGAGGTTTGAAGACCCTATGTGTTACGCCGTATAAGTTATAACCCACACTATATATATATATATATATAACAAGACATTCAACATTATGTGTACATGGTTAAATTCCAGCCCTATAACTTACGTTTTGGGGGTCTTAGCATCTTTGCGGCACTTCTGATTACATGGTCAAAATAATAATAGTTTCTATCACATGTACACGGCCCTTCCGATAAAAAAAAAAGGCTGTTTTCAAAGAGCCGCGTAATCTACAGCACTGCTTATTTCTGGGCAATTTTTGTTTTCCTTCGTAAGTTTAGTTTATGTCGCTGTCATCATTAAAAAAATCTCTGCGCATCACGGGGACAACGCATGGTGGGGCCGAGGGATTGAAAAAGCTTACACAGCTTTAATGTCTCAGAATAAAAAATAAAAAAAATTGGCAGCAGCACTTGCTGATTTGAGGAATTGGCAAAATAGAGGAGTTTATCTCCGCAGAGGAGGGGGGGGGGGGGGGGGGGGGGCGTACTTAACGATCAAATAATTATATTTTTTCTCAGGTATGTCCAAGCAAAACATGCTTAGGAAAAAACAGATGTGTGTATCGGTTAACGACATTACTCCTGTTCACGTTCAATTAGCACGTGTCTGAGTTCTCTCTCTATAACCAAATTTCCGACATTTTTGTGCCATTTGCCCTCTTGGGGAAACATAATTTACAGTACTTAATTGTGCCTGCGGCGCTGTAAGTAATAGAGGTACCAAACAATGCTGGTATTAACATTGCGTCATAATGGCAAAACTGAATGCTGGCGTGGACACCTACCGAGTTTTTAGTATTACAAAGACCGTCACATAATTTGTTTCTTTTTTAATCTAGCTGACACATGTGACTTTAACTCGCAGGATAGAGAAAACGTGGGATGTCCCTAGACTCGCCCAGATCTACGATGACATAGACTCGCCCAATGCTAGAATGTCCACAGAGTCGCTAAACTCTAGGAGGTCCATCACGGGGTATTAAGAATAAGAAACACGTTGACGCGTGATGTTATGGACGCCCTAGTCACCGTTTACGGCAATCTAAAAATGACTAAACAGGAAGTCAAATGTCCGCAGAAATCCACACCCCTATCATAGCATTGCCATAGAGGTAATAAATAGCAGGGAAGTAGCCAGTCCTTAGAATGTCAAGATCGACTTTTGTCGGGGAACACGGTGAACCGAACCCTCGTGGCACATAAAATAAAATGCACATAAAGGCCGCGAATGACGTTACGGGCAAGCTATGCACAGGCCGTAGAGCGTATGCAGTCCTCGGATATTACTAGTAGGCAAGATTTTCACGCGTTGACGCCACCAAGCGGCAATGCTCGCAACTATACAGTCCCCTTGGTCGTGCAGAGACCCTTGACGTCCCGAGCGCGATACGCATTGCGCTTCTCGCTGATCGTCCTTGAAGCGATGGGTAGAGAGCTCGCGCTCCAGTCATTCCGTTTCCGTACCCCTTTAACTTCCAACCTTCTTTTGCAGGGCCCTCCGAGGTTGTGAATCTGATGTACGAGATCAGCAACATCACACGACTCAACGCATCCTGGGATGAACCCGTGAATCAAGTGAGCGATGTGAGCGGATACTTTTTGAGCTGCCAGAAAGAAAGCAGCCGCGAAACGATAACGAAGAAGTTGCCGGCCGGCAGCCAGCACGTGACCACCCAGCTGAACCTGAAGGAGCCCCTGAGCAAGTTCACATGCCGCGTATGGGCTTACGTCGAGTACAAGGGGACAGCAATCAACGGCACGTCTAGAAAGTTCCTCGTGCAAACAGAGTCACCAGGCAAGTTGTATAACAAAAACAAACAAACGAAAAAACACAGAAAGTTGAAAAAAAATAATTACACGAGTTAAATTTGTTAACAAACACCAGCGAGCACAAACTCGGTTCGCCGCCGTACCGACCACAGTCCGAGCCCCTCTTGGTCGCTTTCCTTGTTTTTGTTTTTTTCTATCACTATTTATTCTTGTATTACTTTTAATGTCTTATTTTTTATTTAGTTACTTTTTAATAGTTTTTAATTTTTATGCTTTTTATACAAACTTAACGTCGTGTAGCGCTCCCAGCATTGTCGCTCGTTCATGGCACGCGTCCACGACGCTCGTCGCTGACGCTCGGTGCTGACGCTCGTTTAGGACAGGCTTTCATGGCGATTTTCTCGAAGAAAGCGACCCATGAAGACATTCTGCGTTAAAATTAGCCCTCTCTGGAATTTACGGAAGGCGCGCTCCAAATGCATCGGATTTACGCACGAACGCTGTTTATGAGAGCCCGCGTTTGGCGACACCACGTGGGGGCGTTTCGGGTGCACGGAACCCAGCTTTTTGCGCGAGGCGAAGCTTTTGCGCATGCGCACAGCCGACTGCAGCGCCACCGCAGTTGCGTGACGTAGTAAAATCTAGGTGGTGTATAAGGTATCTCGGCACAGGCACCGTAAAAAGGTCACCTTGCGAATGCTTTGGGAACGTAACTGCGTCACAAAGCCACCAGACACTGCGAGGTCACGTGATGTTAGGGTGCCAGTTGACGTCACGTGAGCAGGTCACGTCACGTCGCGTGACGAAAGGACGCCACACTTTCACTTGACGTCACGTTGCGCCTTGGTTTCACGCTACTCATGGTGACCCGTGACGTCACAGAGAACGTATAAATAATGTGCATCTTGAACGCCTTTCCGTTGACATATCACAACGCTCCGTGACGTCACTGAGGCTATGCACCACGGACAGAAAATCTCAAGGCTGGCCCTATAGGGAGTATTCACTGGCGGCCATAGCTGTGTGCGCGAATGCTGAGCGCGTGCCGATGGCGAGCATCCACAGTTCTTTTGCAACGTGCATTCCGCACCATCAGGAGTGCCCGTCTTAGCAGCCTATTGATGTGAGCTCGTTCTGAGCATGCGCTCTAAACAGCACCCACAAATATGGCGTCCAGTGAATACTCCCTATAAAGCTACGCATTTATAAAGAAAAGTAAACTAGCTAAAAGGCGACTTTTAAAGGGGTCATGAAAAAATTTTTCTACCTCTTCCACCTTAGCTTTAATCCTCAACTCAAATGCAAATTGTGAAATCACGTCGTCATGACATTCTTCGGTACCGGTGCGATGACTCCTAGCTTCCACCTTGCTTTTTTCGCACAGTGAGCTGGGCTCGGGTGACGTCAGGTTGGCACCGCTGACGCGCTTTGGGAACCGCGGATGCATCATACTCAAAAGGCGGAGAGCTTTCGGAGGAAAGAAAGTACAAAATAGTCCGCCGTGTTTTCAAATGTTCATACCGAAAAGCTGACTTTTGACTTTCTACCCTTTTTCTTTTGGCCAACTAGACGATATGGGATTAGTAAAGTCCGAATTTAAAATCATTCCTCCCAGCCCAAAATTCGTTTCATGGCCCCTTCAAGTGCAAAAGCCTGAGACAGTGGAACATGCATTAGAAGGGACAAATGAAGTCGTTCATGGTAAAATAAGGCAGTGTGAGCATATTTGGCTTCTAATGAAAGATTAGTTTTTCTTGTCGCGTTTTTTTTAAAAATATCGTTAAAACAATTGGCGCGAAAGGCAAGACAAAGAGAAAAAAAAACAAAAAAAAAACAGGACAAGCGCTTTTTTCTTTGTCTTCTCATCTTTGCATCGTGTTTGTCCATATCGTTTTCACGGTGTACATCGAACTAGCCCGACACTTTAAGGTTTGCCCCTACCTGGCACGCATCTTCGTCATATCTTCACATTATAACCAGATTTCCCTCTGGTGACCTCACAGCTTTGCGGTGCCGCGGATCTTATACTCCATTCACACGACCGTAAACGCACCTTTAGCTAAGGAACCTTTATTCTCTGCGGCCAATCAATTAACGATCTTCCGCGCGTGGCGTGTGCTCGCAACCCCTGCAATGGAAGCAGACGAACTTGGGCTCTGCAAAATATGAGAATTGAAGGGCAAGTGTGGCCCTTTCACGCCATACCGTCAGCTTTCTGCGCCCTTAGTTAGTTCCACACCGATGTCATTTCATGCTTAGTGTTTAGGCTTGGCTCGAACTACTGCTAGGAACAGCTAGAAAGGAGCTGGTCGACTATCGAGATGCGTATACTTTACGTGTTTTAGTGTGTTACATACAAAACATCAGACAGCAGGCGGACAGGAAAAGCCAGTGTTTTTTGGGGTTTTTTTACGTTTCAGGTGTTGGCGAGAAAACCTATCGGAACGCCTTGCGAATTCAGTCGCTACTACCATTACCGTTTAAAAACACTTATCGCGAATTGACCCGCAACTGTGTTGATGCGTGAAACATTCTGGGGTTGTCGCTAGTGGTGCTAAACTACTAGCGCTAAACCAAGCTAAAGTTGAGGCCTGGACAAGTTGGTACTACATACTTCCGCATTAAAAGCAGCGCAAAAGACTCAAGACTATGACAAAGTAACACGGACGCAGCGCTGACTTACAACTGAGTCTATTGATCGCAACATCGCAATATATACATGCGGTGTCACCAAGAAAAAAGGAAGAAAAGAAACTAAAGGAGGAATTCAGCTCACGTGATAAATCACCCACAAGAAAATGCGCCACGAAACAGCCGTACAGAGCGCGTGTATAAAAAACAAGCACCGTCAAGGAACTAGATAGTTCATATCTTTGGCTGATAGGGCCACCGAAGGACTGGTTACACATGCAGCTCCAAACCTAGCCATCTCAACAGCCTCCAGAATTTTGCGAGTAAGCTGGCCCCTGTGACGCTTAACAACCTCACACCGTTGGAAATCAGTTAGGCAACCACAATCTCATCAATGACCGCCAAGAAGACCAGACACGCTTGTGAAACCGCTGTAGGCGTGCTCTCTTAAAGGCCGACGACCAGACTCGTGATTCTGCAAGGCAGAAGATCTTCCTCACCATTGGGGGTGGAGGAAACAGGCAACGGTGAACAGGGTAGAAGGGGGGAGAGGAGGAAGCGGGGGAAAAGTGGAAAGCGCGAACTGGTCGTCGGTCTTTAACCTGTCATTAAGACAGCGGCCCGTCAGGCCATGTAACGCTTCCCACACGTCAGACGGAGAGAATAAACAACCCCCTCAGAACACGCGGCGAAGTGATCCCGGTGCCTCGTATTGCAAGCCAAGCTAAACTACGAGTTTAGTGATGAGTTAATGTTCATTATCGTTAGAGTTCGTTAGAGTTCAAGATATAGTTATAGTTAAATTTGTTAGAGTTAAGTTAGAGTTCAAGCTAGATTTACATAATTAAACGTAGTGTTAGCTAGAGTTAGTATCAGTTCGTGCGCTAACTCCACTAACTCGCGGTTACGCTTTTTGTGGCTTCACTTAATTTGTGAAGTTTAGATATAAACGACATTTATATATAAACTACAACAAAAATATTTACTCAAACGGCTATTTAAAGATAATGAATAAACGACTAGATGATGCTCATCAGTACAATAACTGATACGTGTATAGTAATCTCTGTTGCAGGATAGGAAATCAGGACACGCCTGCAAAGCCCGCCACTCTTTCCACTTTTAGCAGAGGGAATTGTAGAGACGAGGCGACGAAGGACTTGTCTCCACTCCAGAGTGATCACTCTCTTACCACTCATTCACACTGGAAGCGGATCCGCGTTCGCAAAGCGGGTGCGAACGAGGTTGTATAAAGATCCAGTACAATTGCGCGCGCTCTCGATGACATCAAGTGCGCGTGCAATTGTACTGGATCTTTATACAACCGCGTTTGCAACCGCTTTGCGAACGCGGATCCGCTTCCAGTGTGAATGAGCGGTCAGAGCGGTGAAAGTGGTGGTCTTGTGGAAGGAGCGTGTACTGATTTCTTAACCTGCAACAGACTACACATACTCGCAATGACCATCCCGGCCAATTTTGCCCTGCGTTCGTTTCAGCTCCGAGCGGAGTTAGGAACTTCCGCTTCAACGTGATGAACGCGACGACCTTGAACGTGTCCTGGGACAGGCCAACAGAGGCTCCATGGGGCATAAGCGGCTACTACTTGCGCTGCTATAGCGAAGACACCAACCGCACAGTGAATGTTACGTTCGCGGACGAAGAGGAACATGTGATCGAACACGTCGATCTCCACGATCAGCTCGCAAGGTTTGGCTGCAGTGTCACTGCCTATGTCCAGGTGGGAGGCAAAAGCTACTCGACAAATGAAACGAACTTCGACGTCAAGACTGGTGTCACAGGTGAGGCGACGCTTGTTGGTCGGTGACTGTTACTTCCTTAAGTCGTATTACCACAGCTAACACATCCTACGGAAGACAGTCCGTAGACACGAGTCCCCGCAATATCCGTGGTTCGAATGCCGCGTGCCAAGTTTCTCCCTGAACTCACTGCCATGCGGCATTTGAAGCACGGATCTCGCATTGACTCGCGTTTGAATCTATGCAGACTGTCTTTTGTATGATGAATAAGCCGTGTGATCCCGGCTTCACCGCTTCCTCGCCGCGTGCTGCTTTACGCTTCAGTTTCTTGGAGATGCTCTCACATACACCTCTTAGGAGAGTACTCGGGTAACCAGAGTCGCGTAGTTGGGCGATCTGTTTTTACAATAAAACGTGTATCAACTTGATTATGGCAGGACTTGCTTAGAGCAGAAGCAAGAGCAGTGGTGGCAACACTTCTTTTGATGATCTTCGAATGACCTGACTCGTAGAAAAAAAAAACCCTCAGATGATCGGGGTTTGTACCGCCAACAGACGTGACTTGCGTTGAACTCCAAAAGGAAGTCCAAGAACTTGACTGACTTACCCAGTGGTAGTTCGTAAGTAAAAATCAATTCTGGGCAACTTTTTTGGAAATACTTCCCGACCCTTTTTTTACATCTGTTCCGCGGATCTTCCACCTCAGTATCGCATAGCACCAAAAAGTCGTCAACATATCTAAAGGTCGCTTTCGCCCGCGCGTCGTTCAGGTTCTCTTGAATGTTCCTGCGGATGCTGCAAGGAACAAATCGTGAAGATAAGGTGCGACCGGAGACCCAATACACACGCCGCTCTTTTACACGAAGTGTGGTCCTTGGGGGCCACTATTGTCGCTGCCAGGTGTACACTGAGTAGTTTCAGGAAGGTGTCGACGGTAATCCCTCCTTGCTCTTCAATGGCTGCTCGAAGAATCGGCAAAAGGCCTGTGTGTGGTATTGAGTGATACCTGTACTGGATGTCGACTGACAAGCCAGATACGACTCCAGAGTTGCTTCTCTAGATAACCAAAAAGTGTTCTGAATTTTAGATCGTGTAAGGATCGTTTCATTTATGTTGTTTTTTTTTCATATTCAGCTGACCCAATTGCCAATGAGATGATCTTTTGAGATGTCTACACCATTTAATGTTCTCGTCTAAGTAATCTTTGTCTCGGGTACCTTTCTCTGTGTTTACCCTACACCACCTAACTTGGCCGTTATAGTATGTTCTTAATTTTCTGCGTTCTAATAGGCCCTTTTGAAAAGTGGAGCCGTCTACTTAGCTCATCCCTTAACTGAAACTGTGGTGGAAGCAAACGTCCTCGTTGAGCCAGTCCTACACGACCACGATCCCACCCACACCCACGCGCAGGGAGTCGGATGAGATGATGAAAGGGACGCGGCTGATTTGTCCGGCGGGCAAGCTTCCACCGTAATATCAGCGTAGAGGTGAACGAAGTATTGTATACTCCATTTCCCCTTATGTTGTATAGCAACGAAGGCTAGAAGTGCGAGCTCATAGTGTTGGCCGCTGCCCTTAAAGGGGCAGTGCAACGATATTCAATTGTAATGTTTTTCACTTTACACGAGCTTACTGGCACTAGTGGGACTCAAAGATACTCGCACGCAACGCCACCGACCGAGAAATTCCTTCGTTCCGCTGTAATTTCGAGGACAAAACCGAGCGTTTTCATTCAATCTCTCCTTCCCAAAACCTGATGACGTAGCTGGGCGGTAGCAGTACCGCCCAGTGACGATATTTGAATGCGGCTCATAGATTGGACCCGAGCATTACGTGGGCACTCGATTTGGGCTCGTGATAATCTATAGCTCGAGAAGCATTCGGGTAGTGTCTTGTGTCCAATCGCTGCAATGACGACAACTGCCGAACCATAACAATGTCTTGAACGCAGCGCGTGTCCTGTGCCTTGCCAACTCCAGCGCGTGGCTATGACCAACATTGGCGGCATATAATCGGCTCCAGATCACGTGGCCGCTTGTTCTGGCTGCGAGTTGAGGGAGTGAACTTTGCTCTTTTTTCTTTATTTTTTTTTTCTGCGACTTTGATTGCGTGTGGTGAAAAACGAACGGGTATTTTACAGGTCATTAACGTCAGGGATCCGTTCTAAGCGGTATTTGCGCAAAATACAAAAATCGTTGCATCGCCCCTTTAATGAACGATAGCTTGTGCCACCGAGACGTGCCCTAGAGCAAGGAGCTTGCGCTTGTAGCCTTTATTGCGGCACATCATGAGGTGAAATAGCTGCTACGTCACTCACTTGAATTCGAAATTCACTTTTGGGGGCTTCACGTGCCAAGCCATTGCAATGCACCTGGTATGCCTAAACGCTGGACTTGGGATTAATTTCGAACCCCTGAGGATCTTTTGACGTGCAACCGAAATTTCGGCTATAAAGCGTCTTCTCTGCAATAAGCCTCCGACAGAATGCGCGCACCTCGGCCGTGATTCGAACCCACCACCACCTGGATGGCTAGGTGGAACATTTACATGAACGTTTTAAAAGGTCACGAAAGTGACGAAATTGTATGTGATTGGTGGAGCCAATAGGTGAGTGGCGTTTGGCAGTGTCCGGTTCCTTGGGAAATTTTGTTTAGCTGTTCACAAAATTGAGACTATCTGCAAGCCGGTTCAAGCCGAAGCGGTTCTAAAAAGTAGTCTGGTGGTTCCAGAGCCATGCTTTCATTTGCTTGCAGCTAAGTTTGGTTGTTTCTCAACAATAAAACAAAATTTCTTAAGGAACCCGAAGTTGCCAAACGCCGGTTACCTATTTGCTCTGCCAGTTAGACGGCATTACGTCACCGCGACCTTTTAAAACGCACATGCAAATGTCCAATCTAGCCATTCTCGGGCTCCATAGGCCGGTGCTTTGCCTGGGATCCAGCGAAGCGGCTTTAATAATTGGAGTCCACCATTGTCTGTGCACGTACACTGAGTATGCACTCGGCACGTACGAAGGCATGTGTCGGCATTCGGCATGAACTCGCCTCAGCTCGTATCGAGAACGAACGCTGCGTCAGCATTCGGCAATGGCTCGGAGCCAATCGCACGCGTCGTGTCCAGGAAATGGCGACCGCCAATGTTGGTTGATGGGTTCTTGGAAAGGGTTTATTAAGCGTGTGCAGAACTAAAAAAAAAGAAGTCGAGAAGACCAAAAATGTTAACAAAAAAACCAAAAAAAAAACCAGAGGTCTCATTTTCAAGCAGAAACATTGGTGAAGTCCCGCGTGCTCGTCTACGCGTTAAATGCTCTACAAATTATATTTCTGGTAGATGTTCCGGTGGCGCTCCCTTGCGGCTTTTACCACAGACGTCAAAACCAAGATTCTTGGTTCCGAACGGCAAACTCGAAGGTGCGTTTGTGTAAAGCACGATGGATTTTCAGAGTTATCCCGTTCCTCAACCAACGCCTCCAACGTTGATTCGATTCGTCTGGCTAATTTAGACGCACGTTGCCCAGGAACGTAGAGGAGTGTGTGCAAAACACCATAAACCCCTTGGTGAAGCGTCGGCTGACACTAAGCAGATCTAACATGTCAGAGATCTGCCTCGTCACGCGAAATGTGCCCGCTTAAGAAGTGCAAGGCAGATCATGAACAGCGGTCAGGAGGTGCAGTGATTGCCATACGCCTCCTATAGCTTATTAAGGCATAATGTGTTTATACGTTCATCCCCATGAAAAATGTCTTTAAGGTCCAGCTTCAGATTCCAGCGTCGAAGTCCAGCGTTACGTTATACGCAGTCATATAAAATGTATATGAAGCCCATAGGGCCCACCTCGCGTGTGACTCTGGCGGGGCCGGCCAAAAAGGGGAAGGGGGACAGCTTTGGGTGGTCGCCCGGGGCGCAATAAAAAAGAGGCGCTGCCGCGGCCACGTTTCGAATTTTTTTAGCTTTTAATTAATCTAAACACGGCGCCCGACCGCCATAACCGACCTTCAGTTTTTTTTTTTGTTTGTTTTTCGTTTATTTCGTTTACTTCACTTTATCATTATTGTAGCAGACCAGGTCATTTCTGTTTTAGATTTTACTGTGTCCTCCTCCTCAGCATTGAACTTTAGGTAGGCTCGTCAACGCCCGTTTCAGTGGCTTGGTATCTCCCTAAGACAATAGAATGTCAGCAATGGCGGCTGTAACCTGGCGCGTGTGTAAAACGTGTATATGCTCGATCGTCATTTGTTTTGGGAATGCGGTTCTCGTCTGACCAAACGCTCGTGTTGGGCGGCTACTCGCATGTCTACTAACAACGGGATATCGCGCCTACTAGAAAAGGGCGTGTCAAAAGGGGGGAGAAAGGGGCACGCCGCGGCCGGATTTCGCCCAGAGCGCTTGATGGTCTAGGACCGGCCACCTCCCTGGCGCGTCACATGCGACTCTGTGACATCACGTGAAATGGGACGTCCCCTGACGCTATGACATAACGTGACGTCATAGGTTCACGTGATTTGTTGACTTCACGCAGTCCACATATGCCGAGCTTCTTTGCGACATATTCTGCGCGACTTTTTTTTTTTTTACTACGCACGTATTTTCAGTTTCATCCGTCACAAACCTGGCGTTATCCTGTCCGGCCGATGGAGTAATCGTGGCAGAGTGGACGTTGGAAGACCCATCGTCCGTCGACACCATCGTGATCATCGCCTGCCCACCAGCCAACTACGACTGTCGCAAGGCCACAGTTGGACCTAATGACACGTCCGTCGAGATTAAAGGTTTGCTGGCGGATCAGGAATACACGGTTAACGTCACAACGTTCTTCACCGTGGAAGAGACGACGTACCACGGGGAGTCGGTGTTCGCCAATGTCACGACCCAACCTGATCGTAAGTTGATGCAGCAGTCATGAGGAAAGAATTCTTTGCGGACGTTCCGCAACCATGTTGAAATCTTGTCTACTTCGTACAAATATATGCTCTAAACATGACTGGAGACAGTGTTTTTAGACGGCCGCCGTACCAGGACCATCACAAAGGAAGAAACGCGTCTCAGTCAGTGTTCGAAGGCTGTCTTTTGTGGGATGCATTAACAGTGGGAACGCGGGTTAAGGGAAGGTTAGGTTTCCCGTTCCACGGCGACGACTCTAAATACGCGGGAGTTGAGTTTACACTGTTTTGAACGTATAGTGGCTATGCAGGGGATCCTAGCGTTGTAAAACAAGCCGAAAAGCTCTGTGCCTGCGCATAAAAAGCTCACCCTTTCACTCAACGTGCACTTAGATGGTGGATAATACCATGCGAATTCTCAAGGCGTACCAGCACCTTTCCTGCAAAAGACGAGACGATAAAACTTGTCAGGGTCAACGACGGACGCCATTGACCCTGACGACGGTGTAACGCGTGTCGCAATCTCCCAATAACCAAAGCGAGCAGACGACGCTAATACCGCAATCTCGTTGGCCGCGGAGCGAAAATAAAAATTTAGACTCCTCACGCCCTGCGTTTTCTTAAACCATAAAAGAAATACATTAAACTATCATAGAATACATTCTATACGGCGCTCATTTCCATTACACAGCGCGCCTACAGCTCTAAGACTTTTCCTAGCGGTCGGGACAGCCCACGTACGAGAAAAGCATGTGCATCGCGCTGCCTACGCTGTCTAGCTTCTGTGCTGCGTAAGACGGGGAAACGGCCATTTTCTCTAGCTCGGAAGCTGTTCACGACGATAGATGGAAGCACCCGCCCTCCAACTGAAATGAGATAACAACGAGGCTGTAGGCGCGTCCGGCTGTTCTAACTACGCGAAAGCTGTAGCCGCAAAATGCCATTGCAGTTTGGAGGAGTAAAGGAAGGTTCACACAATTGCGTTTGACTGTGCACCTGGCTGGGCCATGCAACTGGTTGGGCCACGCATGCATTTAATAAGCCGCTCCGGTCGTTAACTGTCGCAAGTGTGTTCTTAACAAGTTGTAAAGGCTGGTTCACACACTTGCGACTGCTTACGACTGGAAATGGTTAAAACAGGTTTTTAAGCCTGTTCGGACTGCTTAAGACCGGCCTCCGAAGGATTACAGCCGGACGTAAGCAGCCAAAAAAGGCTTAAAAGCGGTTTAAGGCTTCTTCGGCCGTAAGTGGTTGTAAGCGCGTGAACCGGCTTTTGAAGACCCTTTCACACACTTGCGACGGACTACGACCGGCTAGGACACGACCAATGTTTAGGCCTCTTATGACTGCTGCGGGACCCGTTGTATAAGCAGTCGCAAGCTGCTTAAAGACCGGTCGAGCTGGTCGTTGTCAAGCGCCGTTCCCACACTTGCAACCGAGTAGGACAGAGCCAAGACCGGTCTTAAGCCTCTTGCGACGGCACAAGACCGTTTGCGTTGCTTCGAAGCAGGTCCCACGCCGTCGCAAGAGGCTTAAAACCGGTTCTGTCTTTCTCGGTCCTACACAGTTGCAAGTGTGTGAACGGCGATTTAGTCGCAAGAGTGTGAACTGGCCTTTAGGTGTATTCCTTAGTGATTTATTTGCTTTAGTGTTACCACCCTTCCCCCTCTCTGTCCACGTACCATGCCGCGGTTTCCACGGTTCTGTCTCGTAAAGTGGATATTCTGCATACGTTTAAGGAGCAGGTATACGCAGCAGATACGGACCCTGCATAATGAAAAACCCACTGGGACCCGAGGCCGAGAGGGTGGCTGGCGGAGGCGCTGCAGGCGTTTTTATTCTACCCATAGGGGAGAACTCATTCAGGGCTCAGCTTAAGCCATAGCTCAAGCGCATAGCGTGCTGATCAGTTTAAGGTTCCGGTTTCGCAGCAAAGAGTAGTTCGGCAGCGTCATGCCAGAGACCTGCCTAAGCCAAGGCGATTATTGTGACTTTGTTAAAGAGTGAGATCCGTGCCATCCTTCTAACGAATGAATGCGCCCTGCTCTTCGGCCCATTTTATCTTTCAGCCAGAACAACAACAAAAAAACTTAAACGCGTTCAAGCCCGGATGAGCCCCGAGTGAGTGTCCTCCCCTCAATGCAGAATTCAATCCACCGGAGCGCGCGCAGCGCCCCTGCCCGCCGCCGTCTTGGCTACGCACTTTCAGTGCTTTTATATTGCAGTACACAGTAATCCCCTTGGGTCTAGAGTGCCCCAATGTCCTGTTTAGGGTGATGCCATCGTTTGTAGTACCCGATGCCGACAGCACGCGCTCACAGGAAAAACACAAAGATATCGCAGGAAACAAAATGTCGCCTTAGAATAGTCAGCGCCACGAGAACGTGCAGGGACACGCTCTTTCACGCACTCCAGAACAAAAAATAAAAATAAGCCTTCGAAACAAAATGGCCAGATGTTATCACCCCAAGCAAAGCGCACATAAAGGTACCCTACTTGGAACTGTAACATACGTTCCTCTGTAGCGTCGGCGCCAACGCTGGACCGCCACATCCCATTGAATGCTTGAACGGTGTAGGAAAACATTTTAGCTTTTATTTCTTTCTTTAGCGAGAAACTACGTTGTGTCAGTACCTTAGAAACCCCAGTATTTCACTCGTAGACACACGAAAACCAATTTTAAAACGAATAAAACGATATCTCGATACCACCTTGTAGTTTGGAGGCCAATGTACCTATGATGTTGAATGCCTCCAGCGCCACTCACGAAAGTACAGTGCAAATGTATGGGCGAGTGAACCGAATCTCGAAGCCTCCATAGTGCTTCCGAAACGTGCATTCCGCACCATCAAGACCGCCGTTCTGAGCAAACGATAAGTAGGAGCACGGTGGGTAGGAGCTTGATTTGAGGATGCGTGGTCCGCGGCCAAGTAAACCGTAGCCTAAAACAACTCTTTGCAGAAGAAAAACGATATCTTCTTCCAAGTAAACCCCTTTAACCTCCAACATTTTTTTGCAGCGCCCTCCAAGGTTGTCAATCTGATGCACGAGATCAGCAACGTCACAAGACTGAACGCATCGTGGGAAGAACCCGCGAACCAAATGCGCGCTGTGAACGGCTACTTTTTGAGCTGCGAGAAAACCGGCGGCCACGAAAAGATAACGAAGGAGGTGCCGCCCCGCAGCCAGCGCGTGACTACCCAGCTGAACCTGAAGGAGCCCCTGAGGGAGTTCACATGCCACGTATGGGCTTACGTTATGTACAACGGGACGAAAATCAACGGCACGTCTACAAAGTTCCTCGTGGAAACAGAGTCACCAGGCAAGTTATATTACCAAAAAGCAAACGCAGAAAGTAAAAAAAAAAAAAAAAAAGAAATACACTAGCTAATCCTGTCGACAAACACCAGCGAGCAATAATTTTGTCCGCCGCCACACCGACCCAGGTCCGAGCCCCTCTTGGTTGTTTAGAGCGCAGCTCTTATGCCTCGTTCACACTTGCGAACCGGCGGCCGGATCCGCGAGAATTCTGACGCCCGGCGACGAAAGCAGGCAGAATTTCCGGTAGAGAGCAAGATCGCTCTGGGGACCAATTTTGAACGCCGGAAAAAAGTTTTCTCTCGCCGCAAGCCATCAGAACGCACGGGGGAAGTGGCGCTTGCTGACGTCAGATCAACGCTGACGAGCTGGCGACGATGGCGACGAGACGCGCGCGGGCAAGGAGGAGGTTTGGCAGCTCTTGTCAGCTCTCGTCTGTTTGGGACGCGCTGCGCCGGTCGCGCCGCGCACTCCGCAGCGGCAACAAATGTGAACGGCCCGATCTTTCTCGGCGAGCGAATCCAGTCGGCGGCGAGTGCGTATTTCGCAAGTGTGAATGAGCCATTAGGCGCCCGTTTCCGGCTTGAGCGGCGTCGGCGTCGGCGTAACCGCGCGAAGGACTGTGGGAAACGTCTATAATGTACCGCGCCGAAACGTCACCGTGAAGACGAGCGTTTCGCGCGTGAAAAAGGGAGGAGGGAAGGAGGAGAGGATACGTATGAGGAGGGGCATACCCTCCCCCAGGGATGGGCAGTATTTCAAATACAAGTATTTGAAATACGTATTTCAAATACTTTGTGTATTTTGCATTTCTATTTCATTACAAATGGGTAATGTATTTAACGTGTGTCTTTAAATACTAAAACGTGGGTATTTCAAATACAGTTGTAATTAAATACAATTTTGTGGGCGAAAATACACCCCTCAAATTTATTGTCACTGTCCAGAGCAGGAAGAAAGCTACGCTCCGCACCGAATGCAGTGCCTCTTAATGCAAGCACAAGCGTTTAGTGGCTTTGTGATTACGGTGCTAGTCCAGGGCAAGAATAGTGACGAAATCGACGTTCACAGGCAGACTGGCTAAATAACTGCCTGTGGCAACTTGTGATGCTTTCCAGCCTTATTTCCATCCATATTTTTGCCTAGAACATTCTAAACACGCGAGTCGTCCAGATTTTCGTAACGGATGCGAGTTGCAACAATTCAAAATTCTCTAGCTAGTTCTGCGCGTCTTGGTCGTTTCGGTTCTTTGTTCGACTATACCAAAATGTAATCTACAAAAAAAAAAAAAGCTTTTTGAAGCTCTTTGCGTTTTCCACTTATTACGTCCAAGCTGATTACATTTTATGTAATTACATTGTTTTTACGTCACTACAGCCGCGCACACTAACTCCCGAGTGTGCGATGCAGAATTAAAATGAGATACCCAGAAACCCGTTGCAGATGCCCTCAAGTCGCTGACGCAAATTTTGAGGAATGTTTTCGGGAAAGTATTTGGAGGAGACCAAATACATTTGGTTGTATTTGTATCTTGTACTTAAATGCTTTTTGGAAATGTAATTAGATTTGTAATTAAATACATTTTTGACGAAGTATTTTGTATTTGTATTTCGATACATATTTGCATGTATTTTGCCCATCGCTGCCCTCCCCTTAGTACACTCCCCTTCTCCTTCTCAAGAGCTGCGCTCTAAATCGGTGTTGTAAAAAGTTGTAGGCGTCCTTTTTTTCTTCTACTCTCTATTACCATTTGTTCGAACGATTTGTTTGTGAATTTACTTTCATTACTTATATTTTATTTTGTTACTTGTTATTTTGTTCATAATTTGTAAGCTTTATATACAAACTTAACGTTGTGTAGCACTCCCAGCGTGTCGCTCGTCCATGACGCTCTCGTCCCTGACGCTCGTTCGTGACGTTCGGCCATGACGCTCGTCTCTGACGTTCGTTTATGACACGCTTTCATGACGATTTTCTCATAGAAAAGGCCCCATAGAAGACGCTTTGCGTTAAAATTAGCTGTCTGGAATTTACGAAAGGCGTGCTCCGAATGCATCAAATTTACACACGAACGCGCGGTTTACGAAAAGCCCGCGTTTGCCCACGGGGGGGCATTGCGCATACACGGAAGCCAGATTCGCGCGAGGCGAAGCTTTTGCGAATGCGCAGGTCCGACTTAAGCGGCATCGCGGTGGCGTGACGTCATAATCGAGTGTGTGTATAGGGCCTCCTCGCGCTCCTCCTTTCAATGGCACCGTAAGAAGGGCATCTTGCGAGTGTTTTGAGAATATGGAACTGCGTCGCAATGCCTCCAGACACCGTGAGGTCACGTGGATTCAGTGTCACGTGACTCATAGTGACACGTGAGTTCACAGAAAACCTATAAGCATTTAGGCGCCTTTTGGATGGCATATGGCAGCGCCCCGTGATGCCGCTACGTCATTGAGGCTATACGCGCCACGGACAGAAAATTCCTAAGGCTGGTCTTATAAATGCCACGCATTTAAAAGAAAAAAAAAAGGAAAAAAAGGAAAAGCAGGTTAGGAGGCGACTCCTAATTGTACAAAAACCTCAGACAGTGGAACGCACAAGAATGGACTAATTAAGTATTTTGTGGTAAAGAGAGGCAGTGTGATCGAATTTGACCTCTAATGAAAGGTTAGTTTTTGTTGCCGCGTTCCTCAAATTTCGTGCAAACAGTTAGCGCAAAAGACAAGGACAAGACGGAAATACAAATAGAACAAACGCCTTTATCTTCATCTTATCTTCGTCTCGTCCTTGTCCTTTGCGCTGATCATTCTCAAGGTGTTCATCCAACTAGCCCAACCGCTAATATTACTTGAAATTTGCCTTTAACTGGCGTGCAGTTTCGTCGTATCTTCATATCAGAACCAGTTTTCCCTCTGGAGGGGTGGGTCCAGAACTCCGTTTGGGAAGGGGGGGGGGGGGGGGGGGGGGGGCGGGAAATTTGTAAGGATACTATTTCCCCATTCTTTCTTGTGCACCGGGGGTTCCACCCAAGGCAGATTGCCCTCCAAGAAGGGGGGAGGGGGAAGGGTGAACTTTGTTTGGGGGGGGGGGCGCCCCTGTCGCACCCCCCTCCCCCCCTTGCATCCGCCACTGCCTCTAGTCACCTCACAACTGTGCGGTGCTGCGGCTCTAATCTATGCGTTCGGTGGCAAACCAGAGAACGGAGATCGGCAGACACTTGTTCGGTGGTACCATACTCCGCTACCCGAGAGTCGATAATTTTCAAGGAGTGTGGTCGACTTCCTCAAAACGCTGTGTATCAAAAATTTATTTTAAGGCTACAAAGCCTACCGGAGTCGGTGACACTTTAAGAAATACGGGGCATGACTTCTCTTATGCATGGTTCAAGCTTCGCGATCTCCTCTTCGCCGTTAATATCAACTAATGCCTCGATCCAATTGGATGTAGAGCGACGATAAAAAGCTCGGGAGTCGCCAAGCCATTTGTTAAGCAGCCAGTGACTATGCGGACCGCAAGTCCGCCTGCCTCTTTTGCAGGGGTTGTGGTGACGTCAGAACACCGAGCTCTGATTGGCCCTGATGGAAGGATAGGAAGTAGACCTTGACGCAGCTTGCTTTGACGTCTACCCACTATCCGTCGATCAGAGCCAATCGGAGCTCGGCGTCGGTCTGACGTCACCAGAACCCCTGCAATGGAAGCAGAAGAACTTGCGCTCTGCATAAAACATGAGAAATGAAGGGCAAGTGTGGCCCTTTCACGCCATACCGTCAGCTTTCTGCGCCCTCAGTTCGATCCACGCCGATGTCATATCATGCTTGTTGTCTAGACTCTGCTCGAACTACTGCCATGAGTAGCTAGAAAGGAGCTGGTCGACTATCGAGATGCGTATGCTTTACGTGTTTTAGTGTGTTACATTCAAAACATCAGACAGCAGGTGGCCTGGAATACAAAGTCGAAAATGTCAAGTCGGCAAGTTCTAAGGAATTTTTTTTGGTTGTGTGTGTGTGAAAAACCGACAGTGATAGCGCCACCGTGTAACAACTCAGCTGCAGCTGTGTTATTAATATCGTTAAAGTATCTTAATTTCCCGGCGTTATATTTTAGTTTTGTTTTGTTTTTATGTTTTAAGTATTGGCGAGAAAACCTATCGGAACGCGCTGGTGGATTCAGTCATTACTACCATTACTGTTTAAAAATATTTATTGCAAATTGCCCCGCAATTGTGTTGCTACGTGAAACGTTCTTGGGTTATCATTAGTGGTGCTAAACCAAGAGTTTAGTGGAGTTAGTGATGAGTTCGTGTTAGAGTTAGTTTGTCAGAATTAAAGATATAGGTACTTCAAGTTTGTTAGAGTTGAGTTAGAGTTCACTTTAGAGTTAGAGTTAGTTCATTAGACGTAGTGTTTTCTAGAGTTGATGGAGTTAGAGGTGCTGACTCCACTAACTCGCGGTTACGCCTTTTGTGGTTTCTCTTAGTTTGTGAAGTTTAGATATAAACGACATTTATACATAAACGTTTCACGATAAAAAAAAAACAATTTACTCAAACGAAATGAATAAAAGACTACATGAGGCACGTGTAGTAATCTATAGTCTGTGGCAGGCTAGGAAATCAGGACAGGCCTCAGAAGCCCGCCACTTTTTCCCCTTTAGCAGAGGGAATTATAGAGACGAGGCGGGGAAGGACTTGTCTCCACTCCAGAGTGTTCGCTCTGTTAGAGCGGTGAAAGTGGAGGTCTTTGGGGAAAGAGCGTGTACTGATATCCTAACGTGCAACAGACTTCACATGCTCGCTATGACCATCCTGGCCAATTTTGCCCCTGTATTCATGTTTCAGCGCCAAGCGGACTTAGAAACGTCCGCTTCGACGTGCTGAACGTAACGACCTTGAACGTGTCGTGGGACAGGCCAACAGAGGCTCCATGGGGAATAAGCAGCTACGTTGTGCACTGCAAAAGCGCAGACACCAACCGCACAGTCAATGTCACGTTCGCGGACGAAGAGGAATACGTGATCAAACTCGTTGATCTCCACGAGCAGCTCACAAGGTTTGGCTGCAGCGTCTTTGCCTATGTCCAGGTGGGAGGCAAAACCTACACGGGAAATGAAACGAACTTCGACGTCAAGACTGGTGGCATAGGTGAGGCGACGCTTATTGGTCGGCGGCTGTTGCTTCCTTAAGTCGTAGTAACACAGCTAATACATGCTACAGAAGACAGTCTGCAAACAGGAGTCACCCCAACTTCCGTGGTTCGAATGCCGCGTGCCAAGTTTCTCCTTGAACTCATTACAATGCGGCATTTGAAGCACAGATTTCGCGTTCGTATATGTATAGAGACTCTTTTGTCTTATGTATAAGCAGTGTGACCCCGGCTTTTGGGCAACTGCTTACGGTTGTCGGTACGTGCCAGAATGCATACCATCCGCTAGCGAGTGCTGCTCGTTAAATATCCCGTCAAATGCTACGCCGCCTTCGGTATATTGGGCGCAGAGTTTATAACAAAGGCGGTTTTCATTTCCACTTCCAGAAGCTCCAAAGAACGTAGAGCTCGTAAATCGAACTGCCACCAGCTTCACGTTTGAGTGGGACGCCGACCCGAAGGCGCCCAATTACACCATCGATGTAAGAACGCAGGACCAGGTCGACGTCTTCGACTCTTGGACGGACAACGTACGGGAAGAACGAAATGGTACGGTGGTGCACAACGTGACCGGGCTGAAGCCGTGGACCCTATACAAAGTGAGCATCAGAAACTGCGCCGAGTACTGCGGGAAGGAGGCAGTGCTGGAACAGCAGACCAGAGTTGCCGGTAGGTGTGAATTTGTGTGCTAAAACCGAACATACACCAATCGCGCAGAGAGAAACAAAAACGCCGGATTACGGCGCATTTACTGCGCGTGATTGGTTTAGCCGATTAATTGTTTAAACTTAAACTATATATTTCAACGAAGTTGAAATATATTTAGTACGAATATTCATTTTATATTTATTCTGTATTATTTTGGCCGCATTCGAAATACGCGCGTAAGGTATTCAAAATACATTATAAATATGAATCAAAAAATATTTTAAATATACCAAAAATATATTTTTTTTTATTTTCGGTTTAGTCAGCAAATGGTGTCCCTGTGGTATTTGAAGGCACTACTAAATACATCTCACAAAGCTACATTAGAAACGAACACAAACACAAACACCATGACGCACTGAACAGCTCATTCACAGTCCCGTTGACTCCTCTAGAGCCTTATATAGCCTGCATATTGAAGGTAATCATATTTTCGGTGACCACCTCTGCGCTTATTAAGGTTCCAAGTATTCGATCTTCTCCTCGGGAGTCTGTCCAAGGGGAAACAGTGTTTTGAAGTTCGTGGACAAAATCTCTTACTAAAAGGCATGGGTACAACTAATAACAATTCGGCGCAATCCCGAAAACAATATCCACACAAACGGCTCATAAAATACATGTTATTGCTTCTCTGCGTAGCACCACTCAGGACGAAGCGAATCAAGGCAGTTTGTTCACTTTAAAATACTGTAAATGACTTTTTTTTCGTGAGGACCTAATTCTCGCAAAGTTTGCGAATCGCCTACAATTCCAAAAAATAGGTCCCGTGAACAATTCCGGCAAAATGTAAAAACATTAAAATCTATATTGCGATCCTAGCGCGTCGCGAAAATTAGAATTTGCGAATTATTCCAAAACTCCAACTTTGACCTAAATTGCGAAATATTGAGCCCGCGAAATATAAATATTTTACAGTAGTTGTTTTGCCTTTCCTTTTTAGTAGTTGACTATTTAATCTGGTAGTTAATTTCACTATATAAAACTCGCTATTTATATCACGTACAATGGTGAGTATACACGTTCAGTGAACTCACATTGTGGTAACAAAACCACGCCAAACGTATCTGTTCACAGCACCTGCTGAAGCTTTCCAGCATCAGCAAATGTTGTGGTTGTAGTTCCCGAACCCCGTTTGTGATTGGTGTGCAAGGAACTGATCAGGTGTGTTCTTGATAGAAAAAAGGAAACAATAACATAAACTGGGCTGATTTATCAGTGCGATGCTGCGCAATTCAGCTGACAAACTAATCAAATGTTGTATTTAGGCGCTTCAGTGTACTCCATATCTGCTTGAAATGAACTTCTAGAAGGAGCGCTTTTCAATATTTTGGTAGTTTAAGTCAAACTACCAAAGTATTAGAGTCAAAAGGTACTTAGAGTATAACACAACAGTATTTACGATTTTCAGGTATTTTAAGAGTATTCTGCACGTATTTTTGATTGCTCCGTGTTTTTAGGGTTGGAGTATATTTTGCATGAATTAAATGTATATTTCAAGAAATATATGTGAAAGGTATTTTCTGCCTATTAATGTAGTATTTACATATTTCAAAACGCATGAAGGGAACTTCAAATGTAGTTGAAGTAAAGGTATTTTAAAATGATTTTTAGAAGTATATTTAGTACTAAGTAAAAAAAAAAGAAGTTTATACTTTCGGTCTATTTTTCGTGTACTTACAATTATGAACTGTATTTCAAATACACTCAAATTAGAATGTGGTATATTTCAAACGTATTAGTTTTCGCTAAGGGAGGGTATGTGGGTAGAAACCGAAAGAGAAGAGGAGACGGGAGCGGGTGTGGACTTCAGAACACCGAGCTTTGGCTGGAATGATTATAGTTGGTAGACGCGAAGCCAGCTGCCTTCGTTTCTACTCACTCTTCGAACCCGTCCGAACGCCGAACCCCGCCTTCGACGTTCGCGTTCAATGCGTTCGAACAGCGAGTAGAGACAAGGTAGCTAGCTTCATTGCGTCTACCCGCTAATCATTCCAACCAGAGCTCAGCATTCTGGCGTCTCTGCGCGCTATTGTCTCCTCCTTTCCCTCAGTTTCGACCAGTATGGACTCTTCAAACATGAGGATCGAGCCGAAGGGTCGCGGAGCGCGCCGAATGCGCGCCGAAGGCTCGCCGAGCGCGCCGATAGTGCTTCGGCGTCATATAAGCGCGGCGTCACCGTCGTACGAGTCCAATCGGTGCGTTCCGTAAACTGGCCCCTACCATCATCGAGGACTCTCGGGTCCCAGGCCGATATCTTGCAAACCGCGTTTCAACGTAATACGAGTCTATGCGCAGCCGATGCTACGCGCCGGAGAAAGCAACAAAACAACGTCAAAGTGCCACGTCATGGCGTTCGGCATGCTTCTGTACGTGGCCCATCATGACTAAACCCACCATGTAGAGGGAAGGCACAGGGACTGCGCTTTCAGCACGCGTGTTTCTGCCGTCGACTACGCACCGACGTATCATAAAACGAAGTACGGTCGAGTACGGTAAAGTCGCGGTTGCATGCTAATACATTATAGAGAAGAGTCTGCAGGCGCTGCTCGAGGCGTGTTTTCTGTTAGTGTACGATGGCCCTGTCAGATTAGTTAAAATAATTGTGTGGAGGGATAAACGCACGAAGCAGCACACTTGCCTCGAACGTGCTTGAGTTTCATGAGTGCAGATACACTTCTGTCATTCTGTCTGCAGAAAACGCCATGTCTTTTGTGTGGTGTATGTGCAGTGTGATCGAAGCTTTAAGGTTATCAACATTGTCTCATAGCCCTCACATTGTAAGTTGACGCAATATTTTTTTTTTCTCTGGCAGCTCCATCGGCCGTTAGAAACTTGAAACCCGCATTGGATGGATACACCAATGTTACTCTTAGCTGGACGAAGCCAGCCAATCCCAACGGCCCGATCGACGGCTACACGGTGAAACTCGTGGACACGGAACGTAACCAGACGTTCGTTCACGACCTCAACACAACAAGCGTCACGCTGAACGTGGTGTACAAATTCACCGACTTCATGGCCACAGTCGCGCCTTACAACTTGGACGACAACACCACGCTGCACGGACCGAGTAGCAGCGTCGCCTTCTCCAGTTCCGGGGATGGTAAGTTTCGCCGTAAATTGGCAAAGGAACGAATGCTTCGGCCACCTCGGGCCAATCAGAGCCACGGAGGGTGAATCACGTGACAACCCTTACCAAAGGTACGGGGGCGAGAGTGTAATTCAAGCAGTTGAGGGAGAGGCGAAGAAAAACTCCCCTCTTCCCCGGACCCTCTTATGGGTGTTCCAGACGTCACTTTGTCCCCCTCGATCGAAATTAGTACAAAAAACGCTGTCCTCTCTCTCTTTCCCGCCAGTGGCTTCGACAGTACTGACCGTAACAGGTAAGATTGAGTATAGTCACGTGTTCCCCTCCTACGCGCTGATTGGCTTACTAAGACTGTAGCCTTCGCCGTCTACCAAGTTGCGATGAGTCAGAGAAGCTACAATGCAAAAAATAGAAAGACACAGTAAAAACGAATGCAAACGGGTATGCAGTGTGCATGACCGGAGTGTAGGACAAAGAGAAAAAAGGGACACCTTGAAACAGCGGTGTTGATGGTTCTGTTGTTACTTTTATTCGGCCTAGTCATTTTTTTTTTTTCTTTTAATTCACTGTAGGTCTTCAAAACCATAATATGGCATTCAGAATGCGAATGAGAGTGAAGTGTTTGGCGCGCCTTTATTTTTGACCTTCATTTGTATCTTGTGACGTTAAAGTTGAAATGTTTCAGGAGTTCCTTCCAGCATAGAACAACGCCAGGTCATCGCAAGTTAAAATCGTTAATTTTGATAAAGGAAAAAAAAAGTTATCAGATTTATTCGGTATTTTTTCAGTTAGGCTAGCTCTGAAGTGACGAAAACAAAGTTCCTGTCACTCTTTATTAGCGGCGAGATGTTTCGGTGACGCCATCGTTCGGTTACCTTTCGTGACGTCATTACCTTTTGAACAAGTTCGATAGTGTTTGTAATAGGCATGGTGGAAGCCTGAAAGCATAGCGCTCTCAAAGCAACACTTCCAACACCGTCAAAATAGAAGTTATTTTATGTTTAGAAAGAGTTATATACATAGAGACAGGGGACGGGACAACACATCTTTCAACTTTCAACAATATTTTTTTTTGTTGAAAGTTGAAAGATGTGTTGTCCCGTCCCCTGTCTTTATGTGTATATCTCTTTCTAAACTTATATCATTACGAACGCGCTCACTAACAAGTATGAAGTTCTTACATTCCTCTTATTTCCGTCGTTGTGACATCCTTTGCTGACGTCATACTCAGCATTCGGCCAATTGCGGTGGGCCGACCACAGCGACGCTTTTGTTCGCTCACGTTGCCAATACTAGATGTTCGCGTCTTTGCACAATATTTCGGAACCAGTTTTTCCCTCATGGTTGATAAAATGTTAACTTTGCTTTGCCGGTTAAGCCAGTTGCTCATGAAATATAAATACGCAAGGAGTAACATTTGTAGCCTTATTCCAAAAAAAAAAAAAAGCCTTTTTTCCCCACAATCATATGTGCACGCTGAAATCAAATGTCGACTTCTACCTTCGGGGATTTTTTTTTTTTTTTATAGATTTTGGAAGCAAGTTTTCCGTAAACAAATTCAGCATAGCGTGTTGCCTTCACTTAAAAGGCTCGACTCTTCTTAATGTAAGCTGTACTCACTTTGCACACGTTTACACATTGATGCGCAGGTCCTGTACCTCCGCGGCCCCACGTTGAAGATGTCAAAGACCACAGCGTGCTTCTGACATGGGAGACTCCCAAGGACAAGAACCATACAATCGTTGGCTACGAAGTGACCGTGAATCCTGGTGGCAAAAATATCTCCACGAACAGCACTAACGTGACGCTGACTGATCTCGAGGCATGGACTCAATACAGTGTGCTCGTGGCTTCTTGCACCAACATAAAACAATGTGGTACTCCGAAGGCTGCCACCTTCCGGACGGACGTCGACGGTGAGTGTTCTTCATTTGCTGAATTTTGTTTCAGAACACTCTTTTATGCAAGCTTCCTTATCAAAATCTTGCTATCAGTTTTGTTTTTATTCTCCTTTCAATGGCTTTCAGGAAGTGTCAAACCGCTAATTCTATTGACATTGCCGTCTTCTGGCGTTTAGTTTAATGGATGTTATGTCTCCTCAACTCTGATAGGCACTGCTCATATCATTCAAATATTTCTAAACATACTCACTGCAGAATCACTGGAAAAAAATTTTCGAGTGCGTAATAAGTATACCAGAAATAAAAGAATTCTCGCGTACACCATACATTTCTATTCTATCCAAATTTGTTGCGATCCCTACCCGATAGCCTGATAAGTCATTGCGTTCCTTTTCAGAACATCAAAACTTTTTTTCTTACGGATTATTCTAAAATGAGAACGTAGGTAGTTGGGCAATGGGATAAGTTCAGTGAGCACTTCAATATAATTATATGCCTGGATCCCCATGGCCTATATTCAGTGTACGGGAATAGAATCAATAACTACCACCCTACCTTTCTTTGTTTCAATCAGGTGACTAAAAGTATATACAATATAGTATGTGCATTCTTTTTCTGCAGCTCCGTCGGCTCCTCAGAACTTGACAGTCCATTCGTTCGGTACCCACTGGGTCGACGTGACGTGGAAAGCGCCTCAGCATCCAAACGGCCCTCTGAGTGGCTACAACGTGACACTGAAGAACGGCTCCGAGCTCGTCTGGGCCACGACAAGGAACACTTCGCACAATATTACGGGACTCGAACCCGGCACCTCGTACGAAATTTCGGTGTACGCCTATAACAAGGCAGAGAAAGGGGAAAAGAAGGGCCCTGTTGCAAGCTTTACCGCACAGACGCAGTCGGAAGGTAAGTGCCATTGGCCGTCATCGGTAGTGGATAACCGACCGACCCGTCTCAAGCGGCAAACGGGTTGGCGCCCGGCCTGACAAGCCGGCCTTGTTTTCTATGCTTTGCCTTCACCTCAAGTCCCGACGCAGCTGCCGACGCTATACGAGCTGATGGAACCGATCACACAGCGTCAAAAGAGCGCCATCATGTTGTTCGTCACGTGTCTGTGCGCGTGTTCCATCGTCGCCGAACCAATCACAAACAGAAAAGCTAGGCCCAATGACTTGCGCCTATTGTAACGCTGCCTGATTTGTCCCACTAGCTCGTAGCGTCGGCTGTACCGTCTTGACTGAAGCTGAAACGAAGTATTGGTGGCATTGGCCCAGGATGCACTCTACGATGTTTCACATTGTGTGCTCCTTACTTTTTATTCGCAGCCTTTGAGGGTTTTCCGTCACCGCGGCTAAACTAATCACCGCCAGGAAAAAAAAATCAAAGCGCACCTACTGATTGGCTAACTTCCTCCAACGATCGTCCAACTGGTAGGCCCTAAATGAAGGAGTAACAGTACTTTCAACGCTTCTCTGTAGCACAGAGGAGATGTTTGTGCTCAAAGCTTTTCATTGAAGGAAAAAGGTTTATTTCGAAATAATTTGCCTCCAAAGTAGCGCGCTGTTGTTTCAACGACTTAAATAGAGCGTGTTGTTATATGCGGAAGGGTCGAGCTTTTTGTAATCAGGCCTTATACGAGGCTCGTACTCATATAGTAGACATAGTGTATTTACGTGTATGTAACCGTAACATTTACCGAAGTGTAATTGAGAGGGTAAACCTTCTTCAAAACTAGATGACACCAAAACAATCGAAAACATAATCCGATGTTGCAATTTAGAACTGCATTATTTTTTATATACGCATTTTACATATATGTTATAGTGTACTGTTGCAGCATACGTAAAGCGATAACTGAATTAATGAATAGCGTCGAGTACGTGCCAATGAAGAGATGGTTGTATTTTTTCATTCGAGACAGGCTGCTAGACTCGTCTTCGGCAAATTGATTATGATAAATTTCTAAACTATTTACTAGTAAGTAATAGTACGCTGATCAAATATCTTTACGTGGTTATCATAACACTATTTATAGTCTTTGTCCAGAAATATATCCGAGTACTAATTGTTTGAATATCTGAAACATTAAAATGCTTGTGGACGATAGAAAGTTGTAGTGGATCCGTAGGTAGTCAAAGCATGCTCTTCCCTTTTGAACGCACATATGTTAACATTCTATTGGATATTAGATCTCAATGGGAGTGGACCGTTCAAAGTAAGAAGAGAGATTTATCCCGAAGACGCGGTCGTGCCGCGAACACATCCTAAAAAAGACGATGTGCAGACTGCGACCTGTTTCTCCCTTGTTTGACTGTCTCATGAGACGTACAAAGACTCTACAGACATATTGAAAACAGACAAATGTACGAAGGCTCTGATCATGATTTACGCGTGTCTGGAGATGTTCCATCATCATGTCTGTGCAGCGAACACCAGGGCCGGCTTGCTAGAACAGTGTCTCAGCTGAGGCTGGGTAAAAGAAAGCAGTGGCTGGACAGCGCGAGCGTCTTGAGACGCGGTTTGCGCCCCTGCTCAGCTCGTGAGCTGGCTGTTTGGCAATGCTTTCTTCCCTCCAGTCTCGGCTGAGACGCTGTTATTTAGCAAGCCGGCCCTGGTCTTTCGCATGAGTAGTGTTACTCTCGCTCTTTTTAATGCGCTGAACGTGCACTTTCTTAAAAAATGCCAATAGGTCTCCTTTCGGGCAGAGCTCTCGAAGAGCCAATCATCATGATCTATACCAGGGGTGGCCAAACCGCGGCTTGCGAGCCGCATGCGGCTCTTTGTTGGTCCAAGTGCGGCTCGCGGAGCTCTCGCAAGGCCCCCCCCCCCCCCCCCCCCCCCGCCCCTTTCTGCGTTTCCCCGGGAAAAAAAGAAAGGATTTCAGAATAAAGCACAGCTCGCGGTTTGGTAGTCTTGTACCCGCATACGTACAGTCGTGCAGCCTCAGCCCTCATACGTACAGTCGGACCTTAAACAAAATTTAAGTTTGCCCCCCCCCCCCTTTCCGCGGCTCTTTGAAGTTTCGTGATTTCGTTTGCGGCTCTTAGGCCGGGTCAGCCTGGCCACCCCTGATCTATACCATGAAGGCTGGGAAAACAACGAGACAAATAATTTGTTTATGTAAAAAAAAAAAAAAATAAGACAGTGCGAGCATTGCGCGAGCGCAGAAAGCAGATTCACTCGAAGTGAAGCTTCTGCGCATGCGCCAGGGCGACAACAGCGCCACCGCAGTGGGCTGATGTCAGAACCGCGCATGGGTGTATGTCGCAGCCAATGGGCTCTCGTAGTGCTTTCTGGGAAGACCCGTGGGCCCTTTTCAGAATGCAGAATCCCTGTTCTTTGTTTATGGCATTTTGACTGAAGCAACCTTCACCCGCGGGTTTCATTTGATTCCCTAAGTTAGAAAAATATCGAGCGACTCTACCGTTAAGCACTCATATGATGTTAGCTTCGCAGGATTCAAGAAGTACAATTGAGTAGTGCTGTCGGAACGTGTTTTAACAAGAACAGCTAAATTCATCGCGATGATTGTGTTGTATGGCTGCACCATTATGCCTTCTTCATGATGGTGTTAATTGTAACGAGTTTTTTCATCGCCATATAATATGTTAACGGCTATGGTGAAGAACTGCTGTAAAGCACAGCTCGAGGCGTCGTCTACGGCTTGCGAAGCAAAGATGCAGCAAACCAGGTTCAGATTAGCACGTAAATAATAATTTTGACTGATCGTTGACCGGGTTATGTTTTCTTTCTTTTGTTTTATTTAGAAAAAACAAACAAAAACTAAAGGGCTTGAGTGCTTGTTTGTTTTTTAAACAAAGGTAAACAGCTCTTCAGCCACACGATCAAACACCCCTGTGCGTCCACGTGACAAATTCGGGGTCTACATGGCTCCTGTATTATGAGGTCCTTGAGCTAACTCGAGTGGAAAATATATATTCATGAATGTGTGGCATCTGATGTTTTTTTTTTTTATTATTATTTTGTTTTTCTAACAGCTTCCGGTGGAGGTGGCGCGTCTGCAGGCACAATTGCTGCAGCCGTTCTCATTCCCCTCTTGATCATCGTTCTGGTTGTGGTTTTCTTCGTCTACCGGAAATACAGAAAGAACAGAGGGTATGTATACGAGCTTATTCTATTCTTGAATACTTACGTACGCATTCAGGGTGTTTCTTGGAACGCGGGTCAAGTTGCTCGTGCAAGAAGTACGCATCTCTGCGAAGAAAGAACGAACATTGATGTTCTATTGGTGTTTTTTCCAAGGGCATATTTAGGAAAATGTAGACCGTTTGCTATAATTAGGGTCTGAACCATTTCTGAGTAATAACTTTGTAATTGGTAAATTTAAAGGTATGGGCTAGGTTAGAAACTTTCAGGGCCTCATCAAAAATCGCTAACTCCGCGCACCTTACAAAAAAAAAAAAAAATATAGGGCATGCGCGATATTTTATGACGCATGCCCTTAAAAGCTAAATTTTTTATGCGTTCCTATGTTTCGGTTTCCCTATCGGAGCACAGCGCCAGCGGTCCTGCAGCGCCCACCCGTGGCCAAAGAGCGCAACATTCTCTGAGCTTCCCTTCGTAAGAGAAAAGGAAGCGTGGCGCGAGCCTGTGAAATTAAACTCTGTGCTTGTTTTTAGTAGCAACACAATAAACTGTATTCCTTGGGTTTACCATCTGTCGTGCGAAGAATGCATAGCGGCACACGTTACTTACACGCTTTGGCCACGGGGTAGCAGGACCGCTGGCGCAAAGACACTTTCCGAAAGAAAAGCGAAACTTAGAAACGCATGCCAACTTAGGATGTTTCTTTCCGTCTCTTTTTCTTCTGAAACGGCGCAAAATGCTGGAACTACCTTATACAGACCCCTTTCGAAATTCGCGTGCCGATTATTAGGAGGTCGGAACCTCTGCACAATAGCGGAATAACTGAGATCGTGGAATGTGCAAGTCATTTCATAAGATAGCGAACGTCGGAGCGCGGCCAGCGGTAGGAGCCGGCGAGCCAATCAAACAGCGTCGGAAGTGCAACGTCACTGCGCTCATCACATTTTTCTGTGGGAGTGGTTTTGCCTTCACATCCAAACAAAACGCATAAAGTGTGCCGTGATGCTGTGGTTTTAGTCCGCCATTGTGCGGGGGTTCCACAGCTGCCAACAGAGGGCAGTATTTTGAAAGAGGTCTATCATTCTGAAATACATAGATTTAGGGTTTTTTGATAATTCCAAGTAACTTTATAGTTGAAGTCAAACCTTTTAATTTAAAACTTAGGTTAATTACCGAGAATTAATCAGAGACCTAATTATACCGAACGTTATAAAATTTACTAAACATGTTCCTTGGGAGGGCCTGATACGAAGTTAACTTTCTTTCTGTGCGATGGGTACTTTTTTGCAAAGCAAATTTCGGTCTTGTATTGTTGTTTAAGTAAGGTTCATAGTCAAAGAAAAAGGAACATATATGTTAGGGTTCTTTCAGCACCAATGTCCAGTTGAACTGTGAGAACGTTATGTACGGAATATACGATCGCACTAAACTCTCCAGGATAAGCGTCGTCGACTCTTAACAAAGTGCAACACTTCTACCTCTTTGCAGAGAGTCGCAGTCCCTTCTTTCTGGCGAAGGCTCATGAAGATAAAGATCACGAGATACGAGCTCTGGGAACTACGGACAAGCGAAGCGATAGCCATGGAGGCGGAAAGGCTCTGTAACCTTCGATCGCAGAAAACAGATAAATATAGACCCCTGTCAGTTGTGTCCGGCGTTCGTTTCAAGTAATCTGTAGCAGCCTTCTTCTGCACCTTCGACGAACTCCGTTTCTTGTTTCCCCACCTGGAAGATAAGATAAAGTCACCCGATAATTTTTGGACTGTCGTCTGTGACTCATAGTTGGAGTGTATGCTTACGAAAGAAAATGCAACGTACAACGTGGATCTTCAACTTATCACTAATTAGGAAGTTACAAGTACTTCGTGCAATCCTTAGAGGTAATCATAAAAAAATTGTTCTTAATAAAAAAGTAAAAAAAAAAAACAATGCTGCCACAGTTTATCACAGCTTGGTTTAAACTGAATATGGGATTAGAGTTACTGATAATTTTGTGCTCTAAATAAACCCTTTTATGATAAATAAAAATAAGAGGGCTCTTGACTTTTGCCTTTAAGAGTGGAACCCGATAGCGTTATCGGGCCCAGTTCCCATCGCTTTCTCATTCGCCGCGCAAGCGTGCCTTGCGTGGCCTATTCTGTAGCGTGTCTGGCTCGCAACCAAAGGGTCGTAGGTACAGATGCCACCCAAAAGTCTTCACATTTTTTTCTAAGGCAAATGAATTACTCAATAGGGTGAAATCATTTGAGACGTGCGGCGACCTTTAATTAGCGTTATGGGCCATCTTTTTTTTTTAATCACTTTCATTCCACGCGTCATGTCACATTTCACGTGAGCCTTGTGGCTGCTTGAAATTCCCGGGCGAGGTTATGTGGCTTTGACGTGATGACCCTATCGACCAATCAGGATTTTCTCGTCACGATGCCACCAACGCTGACGCTGGCTTTCTTTCGACACAAGCTCCTTAACGCTGTCGCAGTTAATATGAATGTTCATGGGTCACCGACATCTTTGGAAACGCAAGACGCCGCGAGCCCCGATAATCTCGTTCCTCAGCCAATGATATTGCAGCGTTGGTCGACAAGAACCTCAATGGACCAATCACGAAGCGGGAAGCGCGAACATAATGAGCCAATCGCTACGCTTCGTACTCGGTCAGTGACCCTCTGCAGAGTGCTGTACCCGTTTAAAGAACCGTGCTACTGCCGCTTTAGTATATAGCGCATTTTATAACAATACATTCGCCTGACGTTTCCGAGTTAAATTTAGCTCGGGTGGTCAGCCTTAAGAGTTCTTCGAGCCGCAGATGAGAAGGCGTTCGTTCGTGCTAAGCGCTAGTAACACAATTATTAGGAGAAACACGTGAAAATAATTAAATTTAAAGTATCGGCTGCCAAAACTAACTTGACGGCTGCATATTTGTCTCGTTATCTAAAGCGTGCCTGCGACGAGTGCGTTTGCAATCTGGAGAGAAATAAAACGAAACAAAATCCTTTCTACAATATATATCTAAAAGTGTTAAAATTGTGCGTATGTAGGACAAAAATAACAGGAAATAAAAGCTGATTTTTGTATTGTAAGATTGAGCCAAAGCTGGACGTATGAACCAAAGTGCCGGCAGTGGAGCCTAAACCTTGCACTTGTTTGGCAATGTAGGCCCAAAGTTGCCACATGAAAACGGAGCAACGAAACGTTAAATACAAATCTGGCATTTCTTTTGCGATTTAGTCTGAAGACTTTAATACACAACCGTTTTGGAAAGAGTTTGGCCTTTCTCAGCGTGTACAACACGGAGAGAAAGGAATGACTCTTTCCGAGACGTCCGTGTATTAAAGTCTTAATTGTGACTAAAATTTCTCTTAACGATTTAGTCTGAAACATACCGGATGACAGCCACTGTCCGTGTTTAAGCCTAACTTTGGCATTTCCCTGGCAAGTTAGGACCAAGAAACCCAGACTGTGGCCAAAGAAAGTCAGGTTTGGCTCTTTCTCGGCTTCTTCCGTCTTTTCAAGGCTCTGGATTCCCAGGCACTAACCATATTTTGGCCCTAAAGACTGTGCTACCTGTGAAGTGCCCCATGCATTTTGGCCCTTTAAAAACGGTGGAACATATGTAGACGTGGATATGGATGGTCCCGATGTTACGATATTCCTGGGGACGCCCACTTATACACGAAAGAAGCAGAAAAATATCACTTGGGTATGTGTCTAGCGCCTTTTCAATACCTAGAAGTGTCCACGTTAAATCGTACAATGACTTCTAGGTCACATTTCTTTTATATTTCTGAAAGAAATATATCTGAAAGCTGTGTTCTTGGTAGGAACATTCAGCTGTATGTGAACATCTTAGCTAAGTTGTTTTCAGAAATATAAAAATTGAGAAGGTCGAGGCGTGGGCATTGCTGATATTTCACTATGGTAATTTGCACAGCCGCCACTGTCGCACTAAAGCAGGCACGGGGTTAAACTTTTATTCATTCATTTTATAGACAATCTACAACATGCCCACCAAATATTTAATATATAACTATATCTATATCGGTGAAAAAAAAAAGTCAATCAGTTTTAGAAACACATTCACAAATTATTTACAAACGTACTTTATGTAAAACGTAGCCAAATAAATCCAAATCTGCGCCTCGCAATGCAGTTTACGAATATATAAAGAATCTTTGCTTAGTGGTTATTGTAGTTTTGTTTGTAATTCAGAAACGTATGTCATTTCTCTAAAAACAAAATTGCTCGTCAATATTAAAAACAAAAACAAGAAACGCCATCTTTCATTTTTTTTTATATTCTCTTTAACGCCCTGCAGTACCTTGAATTAACCCGTAATGATAAAATATTGAGTAGTACATTGCCTACAACTGAAAAAAGCGACAACGAACTTTCACTGAAATTGAGCTAGCTTGTCTTCGTTATACGGACTTTGCCGCACGACATCGGTTCGAAAGAGAGGTCCTCCAGAACTGACAAAGCGTGTACAACGGTGCAGTTCTATTGCAGAGCCTAGAAAGTCAACTTAAAACCATGGGACTAGGAAGAATAAAAAATAAAAAAAACTGACCACACAACAAAAAATTTCAAGGATATGCAGCTGCGTTTATCAAACCAAACCACACAAAAAAAAAATGGCCAAGAATACAGAACATGACGTCGCGAAGTTCTGACCAGACGTGGCTTGCCATGCTAAATCACTACAACACTAGACACGCTTCCGACAATGAGCGTAAGCCGCCATGCGCCGGCAAAGATAATCTCCAAGACTACGAGAATCTGCAACCTTCCTAATCTCAGGGTGTTAGATTATGATGTATTCTTAGCAGCTTGTTTGAGCGCGTTCACTTTTCAGGAAGTCATACTGTCCCAAATTTTAACTTTGTTTCCCATGTTACATTGTGTTGCTTCCTAATCCCCCCCCCCCAATTGTTATTTAATAATGAGTCTCGGCGGACGCCACCCCGGAAGTTGTTAACTGTATGAATGGAAGATTGCCTCGAAACTCAAGCGGCGTTCACATGTAGCTGAATGTTCCTCCCAAGAAGGTAGATTTTATATATACTTATTACAGACATATAAAAAATATGGCCTGTAAAGTCTTTATACGACCTGACTTGCAAACACCCAGCTCTATTTCGCACAAAGAGAAACAACATTGACGCCGCACCTTGCATGAAAACAAATAAAGCTGACGGGTACTCGAACCACCGATGTGAGCACAAATAATTTGCCACGTCCTGCTCGTTTCTGTACCTCCCCCCCCCCCCCCCCCCCCCCCCCCCCCCTCTTTTTCGGTGCCAAGTGCTCTGCAGGAAAGTAGGCGCAAAAAAGTATGTAGAGGCAAACGCAAAACAATGAGCTTGAAACCGTTTTGAATCGCCTCTGGTTTTGTTTTGCAGAAAACCGCTATAGCAGTTGAAGCAGTGGTGCAAAAGTTAATTCATCTGCACGTTTTCGATTATATATATATATATATATATATATATCTATATATACATACTAATTTTATCATATACTAATGTGTCCTCAGCGGTGCAATATTTAATTGGAAGGTACTATTGGAAGGCTGTTTATTGTGTTATAATCCAAATGATCCCCAGGTCGTCAGTATTATTATCCTTTATCAAGCGAAATTTCCTTAAAACTACCACTAGTTCCATTGACTAGGTCCAACATAAATTAGTGCCAAGATCAGAAATTGTTGGTTTCAAGCCGTATTTGGAGCACTCAACACCGGTGACCGGTATGCACGAACATATCCCCCTCATTGAACATGGCGCGCCATCTATATTTGAAAAAATGCAACTCCGGAAATAGTATTTGATCGAGTGTTCGGTAGAGGGCAACCTGGACGATTAGTGGATGTTAGTGGGAATATTGACGTTGCTTTCATCGCAACTACGCCACCCGCACTTTGTGGATGTTGAAATTTCTTACCAAACTGGAAGTACCGTTCTACATATACGTAGGCACATCTAAAGTAATTTTGCACTGCCGATTACCAGAATTTCTCCCCGAAGAGCCTGACACTTGTGTTTGGTCAACACGACCATACTTGGGCCTGTACTTTGTCACACGACAAGAGGAATAACAACGTCTTGTATTTTTTTTTTTTCATGGAACGCCGGGGACATTTAAGACCAACATCGCACAAAAAATTTGCTTATAGCCAAGCACTCAGTGTCCACTCAAATGTACCAAATGTTCCAGATGTCAACTTCTCAGTAAGAAATAGAATATTGTGTTCCTTTTTGCAGGTATGGTTGTTTTACTGAAATGAGTGCCACAAGTGCAGAGGATATAATTTCTCCTTTACACAAAATTATGTTTAGAACATCGCCTCCTAAAGAAATATTTTATTTTCATGTTATTTTTTGATCTAGGTAAGGTCATGCTCTCAATCCTTTGCATCCTATTCCCTTTCCAAGCATCGCATTCGGACGAAGTTTCAGCTTTATGCAATACCTAGTGTAATTGTGCCGGCTCAAAGACCGCGTTTCGTTTCTCTATCGCTGCAGCATACCCTTCTTACGGATGCATTGGTACGTTCATGTAATAGCTTAAGACAAGCAGCTAGCAGGGCTTAAGGCCAGTGAACAGAGTATTTTCCCCACTCAGGCTTTCTCTAAAAACTACAGGAAAAGTTCGT